AACCTCTGCTCATGCCTTTGTGGGGTTATATGTTAGGTTAGCCTCTGACCATGCCTGTGAGGGAGTATCTAGGTTGGGTTAGCCTCTGACCATGCCTGGGAAGGAGTAACTTGATTAGGTAAATAAATAGCACTTCCTGGGCTCTGGTCCTACACTGCAGGAACAGGAAGAGGGAGACAGCACTAGCATTCCCGGTTCTCTGATTTCTCACTGTGATATAGTGTGAGCAGTTGCCTCCAGCTCCTGCCTCCAGGACTTTCCTTCCTGTCATGACTGACTGTAGCTTATAACTGCACCCAAATAAACCCTTTGCCTCCAAAATTGCTTTTATTGTCAGGATATTTTGTCACAGCGATGAAAATTAACCAAGACAAAGCCCAAGCCTATCGGGCCTTTGAGCAAAACCTTTCTCCTTCCTTCAGGTGTAAACTGCCACTTTCAAGGAACCTCAGTACAGATGTGTCTAGACCTCCCTGTGCTGCTCTTGTGATGCAGGGTGTGTTCTGCTGAAGTCCTATCCAAGGCACTTCTAGAGCCACCTTATTAAAGAAAGGAAAAAGAGGAAACAGGATGGAAAAGATGCTTCTTAGCAACCTTTTGAGATGCAGCTTGGCAGCAACCAAGACACTGCTTCTAAGATACCAACCTATGAGTCTCTTGAGTATATAAACCTCACCCTTGAGTATGTCTTACGCTTTTCTTGAGTGTCTCTCTAAGCCCTGTGCTTAAGCCTCCGCTGAAATCTTTTAGTAAACTCCAGTCCTGCGTCAACCTGACTTGTCCTGAAATTCTTTTCTGTGACAAACATCACAAATCCCATCTTCCTCGGAGTAGAGGTCACTGAAAAGAACTCCTTGGGTCTCTGGTCCATGCCCCAACTGTTGCTGGCTCTGTCTGAATGTAGTGCATGTTCTATACATAATTGGTAAAATGGAAATAAGTGTCTAAAAATGAACTGGGGGACACATTAATACAACCGTTTCCAATTTTAACATTTTCGGGTCTCAAAAAATGTTATGATGAATCTCCATACTCAAGAGGCTACAACTCCTTCCCTACTCACTCATTCTTTTCAAGATGATAAAATTTGTCACTTATGCTTTTTGGGCCTTCCCTACTCACTCATTCTTTTCAAGATAAAATTTGTCACTTATGCTTTTTGGGCCTTCCCTACTCACTCATTCTTTTCAAGATAAAATTTGTCACTTATGCTTTTTGGAGAAGGAGTTTTGAAAAGTCTTCACCAGTGCCCGTGTTAGTCAGCGTCAGGATACTCCAGCTAGCTGAGCTATGCAGGGGAAGGGTTTAGTTTGGTCATAGTCGGGCCTTCAAGCTATGACTGTTTGACCCTGTTGCCTTGGGTCTGTGGGAGGGCAGGGCATCAAGGCAGGACCATGTGAGTGAGAACTGCTTAAATCAAGACCCAAGGGATTAACGTCGGTAGAGGCCAGGGTTCTATAGTCCCTTTGGGAACACCTGTGAGGCTCTCTCACTTGGCTGTACCACCGAAGGACTCCATGACAGGCACTTTGAAGCGGCTGCTACAAAGCATCGGCTCCTCGTTTGGGCCCATAGGCAACTGAACGCAGGAGGAAAACCTTTTGCTTTTCTTTTTCTTTCTCCTTTGTGTCAGACTCCTGCTTACCCCTGCAGTAGGCATGTCAGTCTCTTAAGGTGTGTCTGTCACTGGGTGTGTGTGTGTGTCAAGAAAACCATCCTAACACAGCCATCAGCAGCCGGAGAAATTCCCTTCTCCTTAGGGACTTAGGCTCAGGTAAATCTGGACCCTTGACTTGGCTACAGAAAGGGATTTCGGGATGAGACAGAGTGAAGCGAAGTTAGTGAGCTTAATAGGCATTTAGAGATTCTTACAGGAAACCGGCAGCGTGTAATCTCAGAACAAAGATGTTGGCCTCTAGGGAGTAGGGATTTATGTGCCTTGTATGTTTGATCCTGAGGTTTTTCTAAGTTACAGTCCACAAAGGATGTAATTTTCAAGACGTAAAGATTAAGCAATGCTTAAAATTAAAGATTTTAAATTAAAGGGAAAATGTGATATGGTGTAGTTATTTTTTGTATCAATAATTTCTCTTTGTAAATGTAACTGTGAGGTATTTTTAAGGGTGTGGTGCTAGGATTTAGGGATGGATGAGAGAAGATTGTAGTATAGTGGAACTCAAGGGCACAGACATTCTGGGCTTCAGTAAGCGCCATTCATTTGTTGTTAATTATTCGATTCTTCTTTTGTGCAAATAGGAGTTTTGCCTGCATACTTGTCTGTGTACTATGAGCATGCCTGGTGGCCATGGAGAACAGAAGAGGGCGTCAGATCCTCTGGAACTGGAGTTACAGTTGTAGGTTGGCTGTGAGCTGCCATGTGTGTGGAAGGGGGGTGGGGGGGGGAAATTGAACCAGGGTCCTCTGAAACAGTAGCCAGTTCTCTTAACCACTGAGCCATCCTCATTTGTTGTTTTAAATATTCTTGTTTGGAATGCCTTTAGGGAAACACATAATCTCACTGTAGGTAATTTTGGCTTCACAAGTCCTGTTGAAGTTTCTGGGCTCTCAAACTAGAGCTCAGAGTGGGGACCTTTCTTCCTTTCTCGTGTTCATTTAATTTTTCTTGTCTTTCTATTTTGCCTTGTACAATTAGTCTATCTTACCCCCTTCAAGGGTGAAGGCACAGAGACCATTTATCATCTTAAACCTGTGGTCACTTTGAATTGCAGAAACAGCAGCGCCTCACAGGGCAGACCAGACCACCTCCCTGATGAGAGCAGGGCTGGAGCCTTGAACAAAAGTGATTGTTTCCTGAGATCCAGCTTATCCTCATAAGCAATGCGACTTTCTTAGACCACCTTGCAAAATCAGCCAAGACAGTGGTCAACAGACTGCACCTCAACTTTGTGCATACCCTGGGCCCCGATTCTCTCTCTGTTAAAACCTAGAGCTCATCATCAGTACCCCAAAGACGAAGCTGAAGAATCCCTGGAATCTTCCTGACGTTCACCAGCTCTCCTTCCTTTGCTTTTAGCATGGCTGCTCTTTTTAATTGGCGCATTGCACAGGTAGCTGAGCCTAGTCTGCTGGGGCTGATGGAGCGGGGACAACTGCCCCTGGATGTCTGGCGACAGACCCGCCATCTAACAGTAGTACTACCCTGGGGACAAAGCCTATAGCTCATGAGCGTCAGGGGACATTCCACATGAAGCCATGGTGATGCAGAGCTGCTTGCTTTGTACACAGGAGTAAATACGTTTTGAAGATGGAAACTTCCATTCCATTTAGAAAAGCATGAGTATAGTTGTGAGCACTGCTGAGCCAGCTTTTTGTTCTGCAAGAGTCATTCTTTTAGAAATAAATTATTTTCAGCAAGTAAATCAGGGAAAACATTCCATGAGTGTGTTTTATTGTTAAACACACACACACACACACACACACACACACACACACACCTACCTCAAGGGTGTTTTGGCAACTTCTGGGATTAATTAACTTTCAGTTTCTAAAAATGTATTGAGTGAATAGTATGACTCCAGTGCTGAGAAACACTGTCCTGAGTTGTGCAGAGGCTGAAGCTAGGAAGTGTGTGTACTGCCTGTGTTTCCACTCTGAACAGAGCTAGCGATTACAGGGAATTAATGCAGAGCCACTGTCTGGGCTGCATTCAGTTCACGAACAGCCGTCTTGAACTGAGAAAAAAGAAAGCTATCTCGGGCTGCCTGTGCTTTTAGCCTCCCAATTTGAAATGTAGATGGAGCCTGTAGCTAGCTTCACGCTTCCACACCCAGGCACCACACAGAGAGCATGTTACAGGCTCACAGAAGGCAGTCATGAGGCCCCACAGATAACCGAGCACCCCAGCCCAGTCCCCTGGTGGAGGTGGGGGACGGAATGAGGCATGATGTGGGAGGAGGGAAGGAAGCAGAGCAGGCATTGATCTGAGTGGCTTGCCCACCCAGTGGCTGTCTCCACCTTGCCCCTTCCTGCTTTTGCTGGGCCACCTTTGTTGTACTTTAACTTCTGTGGCAGCAATTTGCGTGAAGGGAAGGCACATGTATTTTGTTGCTGATTTGCTTATTAGTTTACTGACTGAAACAGGAGCTCAAATAGATCAAGCTGGCTTTGAACTTACTATGTTGCCAAGGCTGGCTTTGAACTGCTGATCCTTCAGCTCCACCTCCCAAGTGCTGTGAGTACAGATGCCTGATTTATGGGATCAAACTCAGGCCTTCCTGGGTGATAGGAAAGCTCTGTCAGCTGAGCTCATCCCCAGCCCCTGGCAGAAGGATCTGAGCTTTGATCTAAATGAGAGCGGATTCTTCAGGCTAGGCTCAGGCTCTCAGAGTAGTGTATTCTGTGCCTCTGTTAGTGTTGAGGACTACGCCTCTGCAACGTTTTCCTATTGGTGGCTTCACTGACTTAGCATGAGAATCCAGTGGTGAGGCAGGGGAGTGAGTGTGTGTGAGGAACCCTTGTCACGCTAAAGTGCGATGTTTTTGGGTCCCCTGTTCTACACTGCTGAGATGGTAGGCTGCCAAATATTCTACAGACCCCAGGGGTCATCTCAAGGGGCTCAGAAGTCCTGTGTTTGTTTGCTTTAGACAATGCATCTTCTTATCTACTTTCTGGGTAAAATTTCATTGGAAGCTAGAGATCCATGGCTTCTGGTGAGTTTGGGGACCCCGATACAGCTGGAGTTCCACCGGTGAGGATGAAGGACTGCGGGCAGACAGAGAGCGGCTGCGCAGTGGTCAGCTCCACACTGCTCAGGGTGATGGAGGGAGAGGCAACACCGTGAACAGACTGGCTTGAACTAAGCAGAATGGCGCTCACCACAGGGACCGCGAGGCTGCACCGGATGTCTGTCTGGAGACTGGGCATTTCGCGTCTTTTCTTTCTCAGCTCTGTAACCATTGTGATGGGCCAGCCTAGGTACCAGGGTGGGAACTAAGGTTTCTGACAGGTGACGGCACCTTCTTGCTTGTCTTCCTATCCAGTGCACTTACATCTCAATCGACCAAGTTCCCAGGACCCACGCCATAGTGATAAGCAGACCTGCCTGGCTCTGGGGGGCAGAAATGGGAGCCAATGAACATGGAGTGTGCATAGCCAATGAAGCCATCAATACCAGAGAGCCAGCTGCTGAGACGGAAGCCTTACTGGGGATGGATCTGGTCAGGTACGGAATGACAACTCTTTGAAACAACTGTCAGTGGGAGTGGGAATTAGTCTCTCCTGTACTTACTGTACTGTAAGAAATTCTATATTTAGTAGAAATTCTAAGATGACTGGTAAAATGGAATAGATGCTAATGGACAATAATTAACTACTGCTATGTGTTACAAACGGGATTTTGAGAACATGATATACACTAAGTGAAAGACATCAGATACAATGTCACATACGTGAGTCACAGAAATGACTACATGGATGAGTATGTAAAATATAAATAATACTGGAAGTGTAAAATTTGATGCCAAGCTTCACAGCTTATATTCCGAGTGCCAATTTTAACTGAACAGCACAAATCTAAGGGTGACTGAAGGTGAAGGGGGGGGGCAGGGGATTCTGGGATGTGATGTACCCAAGTGGTACAAAAATACCAGGGCTATCCCTTCACAGACGCTTCCGGGTGTGAGTTCCAGGGCTAGCCCTCCATAGACCCTGGGTGTTTGGAGACTGCCTGGTACATTTGGAATGTTTAGGGTAGATGTGCTCCATGTAGATCTGTGGATGGAAGGACAGAGACAGAGAAGCTATATTTGGTGGATAATTGGTGCTGTGAGAGTTATCAAGGTCTGGGGTAATAAAAAATGCAGGAGTGTATGATGGCTGAGCAGTAGTCATTTAAATTGACATCTCCCCCTGGCTGGCACATAGCTGTTGCAATAAGAATGGTGTGACAAGTACCTAATGGCAGCTTCTTGGAGGGGGTGCATAGGCTGTAGCTGGAGTAGACTTCTAAGTTCAGGGTCTGGTCCCAGCTTTAAACTGGCGAAGCCTACCTAGTCTTTCATACCAAGCAAGTTTTGTGAGTGACTCCTGAGCCCAGAGCCCTCCAGTGTTAACTGGGGAGCTATAGAAATGTGGATACTGTAGATTAGCAGTTCTCAGCCTTCCTAATGCTGTTCTTCATGTTGTGGTGACCCAGCTATAAAATTATTGCCATTGCTCCTTCATAACTGTATTTGCTACTGCTATGAATCATAATATACATATCTGTGTTTTCTGATGGTCTTAAGCAACTCCTGTGAAAAGATCCTTTGACATCCACCGCCGAATGGGGTCATCACCCACAGGGTGAGAACCACTGATGTAGATCACGACCACAGCACTGTGCGTGGCAGAATTCTAGGGCAGCTGTTCTAAAAGCATGGCTTCCACAGGAGCACTGCCCAGGAGCCTGCTAGAAAGACAGATTCACAACACCCCCGCCCCCATGTGACTGCATGTGGGGTTGGACCACAGTCTACCTCAGCAGGCAGGTGGAGCTTAAGGTAGAGAATACACTGCCGCACAGCTGGAGAGTGCCTTCCACCAGGGGCTCAGGCTCTGCCAGCTGCTCCGTCGGCAGCATCATTTCTAGCGCTGCTGTCCTTGTTTGTCCCCTGTGCTTGGCTGCCAGTATCTTGGGCAGCTCCTGGAAGAGCAGACTATTTATATTTCACACTGTACTTCAAGTGTCTGTGAGACCGTGGCTGAGTATTCAAAGACTACAGCTGCTCCCATACGAATACTCTGGTCCACTCTGCCTCCCATTCCTACATCAAGGCCAAGCGCAGCTCCAAGAGATGTAACTGAGTGACAGCCTCCATTTAATAGGCACTGTCTTCTGGGTAAAGGTATAATTTGTATGTGTTTCTTAAAGGCGTGTAGGAATGCAAGCATTAAGCAGCACCGGTTCAATTCATTCTTAGCGCTAAAAGCCAAGCTGTGTCTGTCTGGTTCTGGCATCCCCCTACTTCCCTTCTTTCCTCCCTGGCTCAACCCTCCCTCCCGCTTTCTGTCCTTCCTTCCTTCCTTAGTTCCTTCCTTCCTTCCTCCCTTCCTTCCCTCTCTCTGTCCCCCTCCCTGTCTGTATCCCTCCCTCCCTCCCTTTCTCCCTCTGTCCCCCTCCCTGTCTGTATCCCTCCCTCTTTCTTATTTATGGATCTCTGACTAGTCCTCCCGAAGTCCCCCTCCCCCCTGCCCCGTGCATATGAACACATACACATGCTTTGCTTGTTTAGTGACTGTGGATCCAGCTGGTTGAAGCTAACATAGACAGGAGGTTAGCAATTGGCAGGAGATAACATGAGATAGGGGTTAGCAGCTGCTGGCATCTATCATTAAGATAGAGGATATTTTCTGGAAGTCAGGGTGTCTCTTACACCCGAGGTCTGCCTGTCCTGGTGATGCCTCCTGTCCTCAATCCAGATGAGGACCAGGAGGCGTTTGGATCCCATTAGACAGTGGTATACTGGGAAATACCTAATACTCAGCTACAAGTGGGGTGGCAGTCTTAAACCGTGGCCTCTAACTCTGTATCGATCTAAAGATGATGAAGGGTTGGCAACTACCTCAAAAATCCCTCAAATTTAACCCTCTGTTTTCCAAGCAGGCAGGTGCCAGCCAGCTCCACAGAGCACTGCATTCTGTCCATCACACTGTGTCTGTCCCTTACACAACAGCTTCATCTTTTTATTTTCTGCAGAGCAGTCCCTCCTTCATTTCACATATCTGTGTGTGTGCGGTGTGCATGCATGTGTGTGTGTGCACGTACATGGAGGCCCACAGCTGATGTTCAGAACCCTCCTGTATCACTCTGCCACCTCACTCTGTTAGGGAGGGCCTCTCGGTAAGACCCAGAGCTTTCCAGCATGGCCAGCCTCACAGCCAGCTTGCTCTGGGTATTCTTCTGTCTTTGAATTCCTGGTGGTGGTGGGGGGCTGAAATCACAGGCGAGCACCCAGCATTGCATGATATCTGAACTCCAGTCCTCTGAGCCATCCCCCTGCAGACTGACGTTTCCTGCTTCTGACTGGGTTTGATGTTGGCACTAAACCTGGTCGCCTCAGTGTTTCAGAGCTTCTTATAATTCTAAACACAGCTCATCAGTTGCTCCCCATAGCAGAAAAAAAAATGGAAAAGCTTTTGGTTTGGTTTTGTAGTAGGCTGTAAGTGAATACAGGAACCCACGGGTGATGGGAAAGGAGGCTCAGTCAATACCTGTGGGGAAAAGCCCGTGTTATTAAAGCTACAGTTTCCTGAACGCTCTTGGGAAACGGGCTTTGTATATGTATTATCCCATTTAACAATCACAACACCCCAAATAGTTAGGTCTTCTAATTCCTTATGGTACAAGGAAACTAGAAATTAGGGAAGTTAAGTGGCTTGTCTAATGCCCCAGGGCTAGAAGGTAGCTGAGCTAGGAATACCAGGGTACCACTTCTCTCTAGATTAGATCACACTTTACTTCTTCCAGTGAGACAGAACACTGAAATGGAAAGGAGTCAAAAGGTCTTGAACACCCTCTCCCATGTCAGAAGATGAAATGACAGCAGATTTAGTTTTAGACTGAGTTGGCGTTTGTTCGTGATGCGTGACTCAGGGCGCCTTCGTTCTGGAAAGCAGGATAAGCTCCCAGCAGTGGAAGCGTGGCTTTTACAGAGTGGAAAGGGAGAAACACAGCTACATGGGGGAAGACAAAGAAACCCACTAACATTAGGTGACTTCGGGTTACTTTGCTGTAAGAGTTGCAGCTACAGGGACTTTCTTATGCTGACTCACACAGAGTAGAATCTATTGTTCATTAAAGAGAAGTGAGAGTGGGTGTCTCTGCCTTCAAACGCTCCAGCTATGGGGCATCTAGCACAGGAAGTTCTGGTTTGGACTGGTCAGCTGAGGACTGTTGCAGGAACTCAGTCCAGAACAATTCCATACGTTTTAAAGTTCAAGCTCACACAGCATATAGCATCCACTTAACACATTTCTTAGTCCATTCGGAGCATCATAACAAATTCATAATAGTCTGGGAGATTTAAATGGCAGATATTTATATTTTAGTCTGGAGGCTGGGAAGTTCAAGATCACAGGGCCAGCAGGTTCCATCTGAGGTATAGCTGGCCACAGCAGAGAGAGAAAAGCTTTTGGAGTCTCTTTACTACGGGCCCTGATACCATCACAAAGACTCCATCCTCATGGCCACTCCCCACAGCTTCAGTCGCCACCACACAGGGCAAGTGGCTTCAGCATTTGAAAATGGGCACAAACTTTCTATTCATAGCATCATCTTATGCCCATCTATGAAAAGTGTCAAAGTTAACAGGGTGTTATAAGGTAATAAACTTGCCTATGAATAGCAGTGGTTTGCCAAACTCAATCCAATTTTTTAACCTATTTTTCTTATTTGGGGTACAGAGAGGAACCCCTTCTAATGTACAGTCATAAATGCGACAAAGCTCAGCCATCAGATTCCTAAACCAAAGTGCAGATACCATCTGGCGAGCTCTCCCTTCGGGAGTGGGCAGTGAAGAATGACCCACCCGTGAACAGGCTATGGAACTCATTTTTTTTCTCTTTCACAAAACCAAGTCTTGAATTCAGGAACATCTGACTCAAACCCAGAACAACTTAGGCAAAGCACATCAGAAGGGAGCAGACATCAGAATGGGACTAACCTGGGCCCTTCCAACACATCTCTGTCCTGGTCTTTCTTAGACTAAGGCACGGCCACCAAGTCAGCTTAGGTACTGGGCCAGAAGCATGCTGTTTTCATTTGGAACCCTGTGCATCTAACCCATCTGGAAGGCTAGAGTGGGTGGAGCGGCTTCAAAACATGCCTTAGGATGATGAGAGATGGCTTCCCATCCAGTGACTCGGGACTCGTCTATACCTCTTGAACTCAGGGCACAAAGCCCCAGTGTCCTTACAGTCCTTATGCTGTGGAGTAGGCCATCCTGTCCTCATGTCTTGCAGTCCTTGTGCTGTGAAGCAGGCCATCCTGTCTTCATCTAATGGCCCTGAGGTCAGGTGGGAACGTGGGTTAAAGGCTTAGGTAGTGTTTAACCCATGGTGCTGACCTGACAAGCAGTGAAAACAGAGTTCCACCCACATTTTGAGATGAAGGGGAAGGACAAGCACCGAGCCTCGATGGGATTTCAGTAGGTCACTCACCCTAAAATTTAGAGAACAGAAATTCCAACCTCCAAAGCCTACTGCACACAGCCATGGTTGCGTGTTTCTGGAATATGTTTGTGTGGGTCCATTTAGGCCTGCGGAGGCCTGGAGGCATTGAGACATGAGGCATTGTGACCAGGAACTCTGGAAAAGACTTTCCTTCAAATCCTTGAGATGCCCCTCCTTTGAGGAGACAAAGACATTGATCAAAGAAATCTATTTAATGTATATTTCAATGGGTTTGTTCTTTTTACTCATGCCAAGAGACAGATAATAGGCCACCTTTGAGGGAGGAAGGGAGGTCTCAGGCAGCAGTTTGAAACCTAGCTGCCCTATTTGTGAAGCCCAAGGTTCAGCATTTTCTTTTATTACTCTCTCAAGGCCCTAGGGTTCAACTTTGTGAATTATGGCTCTGTAATCGCATCTTCCCAAATAAAGTAAAAAGGAGATCTGTCAAGTGAATTGGTATATGATGCTCTGACTATGGAATAAGCCCATTACAGGGCTCCATCCACAGCTCGCAGATGTATTATCCTTTCTTCTCCATGACAGCACAGTGGGGCATCCCTTAGGAAGCATTCAGTTGAGAGAATTTAAGTAGTCATCACTTCACAAGTCATGAATTTATCAAGGACAGGGTTATGTCACCACCTAAGTAGCTCTGCCGCCCTCTTCTAAGATGTGAGCTCCTTCAAGCAGAGCAATAGTCCGACTGAATGGATGAATAAATGAATTAAATGCATCTCATGTGCTGTTTTCTGTCATCTCAGCTTGAGTGCACATTGACAGCATGAGCACTAAGAACTGGAAAGGTCACATGACTAAAGGCGTACTGCCATCGGGTAGCATTACCCAAGCTGGATCAGGGTCCATGCTCTCTGAATGTGTGTGTCTTGGCCTTCCACCTGCTGAAGTTGATGGTTTACTAGCTTAGCTCCAATTACTAGTGCTGTGTGTTTTCATGTTTATTACCTTATAACACCCTGGTAACCTTGACACTTTTCATAGTTGGCATAAGACTGAAGCTCATATCTATTATGCAAGCTTCCCAAGCATATGTGTAGTACGACTTCTAGTTGGTACTAATTAAAAAAAACGGGAGTCAGATATTAGGGGATAAAGCTGAAATATCAGAGAAGCAGAGCAGCCAAGCTTCCAGAAAGTTCTTACCTCTACCAAGGCTCAAATCAAAGGGGCAATCCTGTCCTCAGCATGTCTGTAGTCTGACTGTCTCCTGCCTTTCCCCTTCGTATATTCCTCTCTAGTGCTGGAATTAAAGGCATGCACCACCACCTGGCCTCTAGGGCTAACTAGCATGACTGCTGGGATTAAAGGTGTGTGCCACCATTGCCTTGCCTGTATGGCTGACTAGAGTGGCTAGCTTTGCATTCTGATCTTCAGGCAAGCTTCATTTGTTAGACCATAACCAAAATGTCACCATACAGAAGGCAGTATCTGTACTCTCCTTAACAGACTTATTCATTGACAGGGCTGGGAAAGGAAGATGGATGGCTCACTTTAGAAGGAGTCTGTGTTCTTTTGATAGTTAATGCTGTAAGCAACATGAGTTAATACAGTCTTATGTGTAGGAAGGAAGTATGTAGAAACAGAACCAGTCATATTATAACCTTTCCTAATGAGATCTCTGAGCAAATTATATGTACACAGGACAATGGCTGGCAATTAAACCTTAAAACCAAGTTTCTTAGTCCACTATACAATGCTATGAGAAAATAACTTAAATGAGCCAGTATTTAATGTCTAGTGTGGATACATTCTAACTCATACATGGTACCTACTTACTATGTCCTCCAATGGTAGAAGGAGGCAAGACAGCATTCTGGAGAGATCTCTTTTATAAAGGACACTAGTGGCACTCATGAGGGAGCCATGACTTCACCATCTCCCAGAAGACCCATTTCCTAATACCACCTCATGCGTGTTAGGATTTCAACATGGTCCTTGAGGAAACATGAGCAGGCTATAGCAGTATCTAAAGCACCCACTGTAGGATAAGAGTTGATCCAGGCTGTGGAGATCTCTTTTTCCTTAGGCTGTAGTCAGGAGGAAATCCAGGCTAGAGCTGAGCTTGACAGGTGATATGGTCAGCTAAGAGTAAGGAGGGGTTGACCTTCCAGTCCAGGAAATGCAGCCACTGGCCTCTGATATGTCTATTCTTATGGAAGGGGGTTGTCTAAAGACAACACATTTCTGTAGTTTGTAATGGATATGTGAGGGAGGCATTCTGAGTTAAAGTACTATTACAATCAGTTCATACATTGGTCTGAATATTTGAAATGTTTCCTGACATGATCTTGTCCCAACCTTTGGTTGCTATAGTAATGATCATCTGGTCTGAAATGATGGAGGTATACTTCTGATTTCCTCCAGGCTTGGTTTAGAGCGAGGGACAACAGCTAAAGAAGCCTTAGACGTCATTGTCTCCTTGCTTGATGAGCACGGACAAGGTGGGAATTATTATGAAGATGCGCACTCCTGCCACAGCTTCCAAAGTGCTTATCTGCTGGTGGATCGTGACGAAGCCTGGGTGCTGGAGACCGTCGGGAAGTATTGGGCCGCCGAGAGGATCACAGGTGAGGGGTTGCAGGATAGAGTTTTAAGGCTAGGACAGGCTGAGGTGATGTTAGTTGGACGTGCTGGGCTGGCTCAGAGGATGCTGTGGTGCCTCCTCTGGTCTTCAGGCTTAGGCATGCATCTCGCCTCCCAGCATCTGTTTCCAGAGATGTATCTGGGGTCTCCCGAGTTCTGTGAAGGGTTATCAAGACTCAGGAAGTACATACCTAACTTTTTACAGTTCCTATTTGCTCTTTAGACATTTCTAGTTTTGACTACAAACTATGAGTTAGGCAAGGGAATGGGGCATCTTCATTCATTAACAGGTCAACAAACCCCTTGTCACTCCCAGCTCCATTGCTACTTAAGACTGTTCCTCTAAAATGGGAACTTGGGTCTCTGAAGACTATTGGCATCACTCAGGGCCAACCAGATCATACGGTTTAGGCTCCATCACTAGAAGAGCATGGGCATGGTCATCTGCATGAGAAGTACCACTCTAGTTCATGCAGCTTCTTGCTTCTAGGGCAGGACTGAAACAGTGTGCCACCTCCCCAGCACCTTTCCTCAGAATTCCAATGGCACAGGGTGTTAGAAATGGTTAAAGGACTTCTAAAGAAATGTTCCAAAGAAATCTGGTCAACAGCAGTTCCCTTACAGTCCTTGGGATAGGTTGAAAACTAACACCATGTGCACTTCCCCAGCTAGTGCCCCATCACACTTGAGTCTTGTTGAACCTCTACATGGCTACATACTTTTTCAACATTTTTTTTACTATGAAGTCTTTATCAGTTAATTATGAAAGATGAAAGATATTAGATATGTAACCCGTTCGCCACCCTAGTTTTTAGGTAATCAGGACCAAATCTGACCTGAGCCAGGTCTCATGGTCACTGGGAGTCAAGCCTGGTTTTGTGCACAGGTTCCAGTGACCACATCTCCCCAAGACTAGTGTGTGTTCCATATACAAAGCTGCTCTGCTGAGACCAAGATGTCCAGACCAGTTTCCTGTGTGTGTGAAGACTGTCTGCTCGTTCTAACAGGATAGGAAATGGGCTAGTTAAGCCACCAGCAGCACAGGGAGTTTTCTATGTCCTTGTTCCCAGCATACACCTCTCAGGGCCTGTGCAGGCTCCCTTCCCAGGCCTTAGAGTGTTTGCAAATCAAAAGCCCCTCCTCCAGAACTCCAGCTCTCCTTCCCTGCAGGAACTTTAAACTCCTTTACAGAAGCCCTTCTAAGATAAAGTGATGCTATCAGATGGCTCTCTCAGGAAGGCGGATGGGTTGTACTTCAAAGCAGTCCAGTTGCTTTTAAATAGAATCTAAGACTTTTTGATCTGTAACTACATTTCAGAAGCTGAACTTCCTCCAAAGCATCACTTATAAAGGCCCTTCTCTATAAAACAAGTGTTTTTCACTAAACATTTTTTTCAGCAGCCATTTTTTTTACTCATCGATTTCCTGTTCTCTGACCCCAGCAGCATTGTGATTGATGTTGGTAGGAGTTAATGCACTCTGTCTTCAAAGTTCTGATTCTTAAAAACAAATGTCTACTGTAAATCAGCCCTCTAGGAAAATAACATCTGTGGAGTATAGAAGAATGTTTCTTTTAATAGCTTAGTATGAATGGTATCAAACTCACTTGTTTGGACCATAACTGTTTTCTATTGCTTAATTAAATTTTGTATTAGCAATATCCTCTGGAAAAAAATGAATGGCCAATGACCAGGGCCTCTCAGTCAGAGAGTGCATGTTTTGGAGGTGTAAATCATCAAAGCATCCTGGGAAAACTCAGTCCAGCTGATCTTGCTTCTAGGGGCCCAGAGTCAGGCAGTGAGGGCTCTGCTGTAGTGGGATTGAGGCAGTAAGAGGTCCATTGTAGCTTCTTCTTTTGTTCTTACTTCATTCTCCAAGAATTTGGAAGCTCAGCATGCTCCCCGGGAGCAGCCTCTGTGAACAAGCCTTTTGAGCTAGCAGTGGTAACCTGGCATCTACAATCTAGACAGCTCCTTGAAGTTTAGGGACCAAGTCACCCTTCGTCTGTGTGGGTGTGTGGTGGCGGGCGTCGCTCCTCCTCTAGGAGGAGAAGCCTGTGAATGTTGTGGAGTAGCCCTGTCTAGCAGTGGTTCTCAACCTTCATGATGCTGCAATCCTTTAATACATTTCCTCATGCTGTGGTGTCCCCCAAGAATAAAATTATCTTCATTGTTACTTTATAACTATAATTTTGCTAATGTTATAAATCACAATGTAAATATCTGATATTCAGGATATCTGATATGCAACCCTCAATGGGGTCACGATCCACAGGTTGAGAACCATTGCTGTAGCAGAATCACATATGGATTCCCCAAGTCTCGTGAACACAGCAAGACAGTCCTTTCAAAGAACTGCTCAGTTTTCCCGTAAACATGAATGCTTGGGAACTATTTAGTTCAAATAGAGGGCCTTGAATGTTCCATTTTGTTTGTGAATTTAAGATCAGTAAAGCTGATGTCAGATAATGTCTGATGGAGACAGGCTGAACTTTTAGGACGTCTCCTGGAGTGAGGACCAAGGATTTCGTTTTTCTCGCCTCAGAGATGTAGCTGATTCCTCCCTGTAGTCCTGGGGTTCCTTCCACTAACCACACATCAAACTCTTTGCAGAGGGAGTGAGATGCATCTGCAACCAGCTTTCCCTCACCACTAAGATGGACGAGGAACACCCAGAACTCAGGACTTACGCTCAGAGTCAAGGCTGGTGGACGGGAGAGGATGAATTTAATTTTGCCCAGGTTTTTTCTCCGGCTGATGACCATTTGGACTGCTGTGCAGGCAAAGACAGCTTAGAAAAGCAAGAGGGTAAGTTGACCTGTCCCTTGCAATTCTCCCTCTATACTCTTTGGTTCTTGACCGAACTTTAAAGGGCTGACAAAGAGGAGGAGTAGAGAGAAAGCCTTGCATGTTAAAGACCAGCTGTCCTTGCTGGTCCTTGGTGTGTAGCATGGAGACAGCATGTATGTGTTACATGCAGCTTCCACCCTTGTAGGAACCTGTGTGTGCCCGCTGATGTGAGCACTGCTGTCATGTGATCCTTTGTGGGACTCACGGCAGCCTTCCTTATAGCCCCAGAAACTTGGGAGAACCCCTCTTCCCCAGCCCGCTTGGCCTGCAAGAGAAGCCTTCTGCTCATATTGAGATCCTCCCGGGGTGTCTGGGTACTGCTTCTATCCATGAACTTCTGCAGTGGACTCTCAAACGGGATTCCGTTTCTAATCCATTTAGCAATGCCATACATCGTTAAATTCTGATTAAAAACCCATATTTAGGTAAATGTGTTGAACAACTAGCTCCTTGTTTATATCTGTGAATAGAAACTGTTCCCAGGTCTATAATGGTCATATTTTGTATTTGCTAGTTCTACATGCCTATCTGTCCATCGAAAGATCATTTAGAACTAATGGCTGCAAAGTATGTCCTCAAACAGCCACTTCTTTTGTGAATAAAGTTTTATTAGAAAACAGCCATATTGTGCTAGTCAGTTTTGTTATCAAAATTTTGTGGCAAAATTCTAGAGATTAAAAAAAACTTACCAGGAGAAAAGCTTTACTACTAGATTCAGAGATTTTGGTGCATGATCAGTTGCTCGGTTGCTTTTGGGTGTCATGGCCGTAGAAGCATGTAGAAGTAGCTGCTTACCTCATGATGGCCAGGAAGCAATGAAAGTATGTGTGGGATGGGGTGCCAGAGTCCCAGTATCTTTTCAAGACCACACCCCAACTAGCCCATTTTCCTTGTATTAGGCCCTCTTAGCCTGGGGACCAAACCTCCAGCACTTGGGCTTTTGGAGGACATTCCAAGTACAACTTCAGCTCAGACTCACTTCATTATGTACTGCCATGGCCACCTTCGTTCTACAGCAGTGGAGCTGAATTGCTATGGGGACATGTGATGGAGAACACATGATCCACAGGCTTAAAATAACTTCTGTCTGGCTCTTTAAGAAAACGTTTTCTGATCCTTGATGTAGAATATTGCTTTGGAATTTTGCTATAGACATTATTACACATAAAGGCAGGGAGACATTCATTTTTAAGTGGGAATTCTTGAAAAAGTTCTAAAGATTGTAAGCTACAACAAAACTAGTGATGAAATTATTTATCCTGCTCGAACATTAGCCCTAAATCAGCAGAGGGTGGAGGAGCACTTTATAACTCCAGGGGGCGCCACCTGCCCAGTCTAGCCTTGAAAACCACGGGAAACATGGCAGGGACTAAACAAAGTGGCATAAGATGTTAGAGATGTGCCAACCTATTAGAGACAGATTCAAATTAATACGACAGTTACTTGTGAGGCAGGAAATCCAGACATTGCGTAGGTAATGAAATCAAAGCCATTGCTGATATTTTGTGTAAAATGTAAGTAGAGACTTACAAAGAGGACCTGCATCATACTGGGAACCCATCTTTGTGCACATAGGCTAAACGTGGGGTTGTCTGCTCGCATGCTTGTTCTTGGTATTTTGGGGGAGGGGTTTGAGGAAGAGTGAATTTATTACAGGTTTCAACCTGAAACCTGGAGTCCAAGACTAGCTAGCTGTTTCTTCACACAGCTACACTATGTTTTGGTTTTGGTTTCATATTTTAAGAAAGGTTTCCCTATGTAGCTCAGGCTGTCCTGGAAAGAACTATGTAGCTCAGGCTGACCTCAAATTAGTGTTCCCCCTGCTTCAGCCCTGAATGCTGAGATTATAGGCATGAGCCACCACATCCAGCCAAAAGGCTGCTTTATTGATAGAGCATAGCCACAGGAGGACATGACGGAATGGGGTCATGTGTGGCCAGGGACTCAATCCACTCATCTGAATTACAGCCAGTGTCCTAAAGACTGAGCGCTCTACGCGCTTCTCCGTGTGTTTCCCAATGCAGAGTGGCCATCCTTCAAATAGTGTTTGTACCCTGAACGGCAAGCACGCATGAAGGTGAGAGTGTGGAGGGCCACGTTAGGCGCCACACGGTGTCTTGTGTGTTCAGTCATTGCACTAGTTGAGGCAGAGGTAAGGCTACAACAAAGAGATCTGAATTAATATGACTCAAAGGGAATGGAAGCTGTTTCTTCCCCACATTAGCATCTCTATGGGTAGAGACAGTCCAGGGCTGGGGATTTTTCTGTTCAACTCTGGGCTGCAGTGTGTGTGAACCGCGTGCTGACCTCTCCCAGCCGGCAGGAAGGCTAGAGGAAAAAGTGAAGGGTGAGACATGGGTGTGACCGGAGATGTGCACACACCATTTCTGCTCCTCTCCCATTGGCCAGAGTGGATCAGGGCAAGTGGGAATTACGTTCAGTAGTTGAAGAGTAAAGAGAGAGAGGAGTGAATCAGGTTGCCAGCCTTCACAGTCATTCTCTCTCTCTCTCTCTCTCTCTCCCTCTCTCTCTCTCTCTCTCTCTCTCTCAGAAAGCATCACTGTGCAGACAATGATTAACATCTTACGAGACAAAGCCAGCGGAGTCTGCATAGACTCCGAGTCTTTCCTCACCACCGCCAGTATTGTGTCTGTCCTGCCTCAGAACAGAAGTTCCCCGTGCATCCACTACTTCACCGGGACCCCGGATCCTTCCAGGTTAGTCTAAAGCACGTCAGGTAGGCAGAGGGCGTGAGCTCCTGGCCATGTGCTTCCCTTGGATACTTTTCTCAGTTCTCAGCAGGGGCAGTGTCGTATGGGAGCTGTGACTAGGTCGGGGTGCTTGACTGCAGCCACGGTGTTCATTCTGGTCATGGAACCCAGTTATTGTTGAGTATAGGTCATGGGCCAAGCATTGCGTTACAGATGAAGATGCAAAGATGCATACAACACAGGATGGTCCAGATACAGGGATCCCCAAGTCTACAAAGAGAACCAGTTCTTGTGAGATACTGGACAAAATGGTCCAGGGTTGGTTCATAGGGAAGCACCTGCCTTTTTTTTTTTGACATGTTTTGGAGAGCTGCTTTCTGCCCATTTGCTTCAGCGGCAGGCAGTACTGCTCAGTGCTGAGGGCACATCCTCGAGGAGGAACAGCCAGGATTTTGGGTTCCCTCTTTGCCACCTAGCTGTTGCATAAGTACTTTGCCTCAGTAACCTTCAGCTTTTGTAATTACAGTGGGATGGTCCTAGCCTATTTGTATTGTTGAGAAGACTAAAGGAGACAAACTGATAATTCATAGTAGGTTTAGCAATTATTTATAAAGACCATCTTTGTTTTTCCAGGCAGACAGTAGCCCCTCTCTCTGGCAACATCCAGTTGTGCAGTCCCAGGTCATGTCACCAATAGCTTAGAACCAGTCAGCCAGAGGCTTCTAAACCTGGGGCCCATGAGGACAATCTGAAACATACAGATGACTTGACCCAAAACCCATCTCACCAGAATGTGAGCGGTGGACCCCAGAACCTGTCAGCTAGCTGATCCTCAGCAGGAAAACTTCCCCGAGAGGCTGGTGTTTTCAGGTGTCATGTGGGTGGCCACCCTGAGCATTGTTAAGTCAGTTGTTAAAGCTACTGAAGAATGCACCGCTGCTACATTTCAGTCCTTTTGTAACTGAAATACTTTCTTCTACTGTGTCAGGGATGTGAGATAACGCCTGGTCTTCCTCCTTCCTTAGAGACTGTTTCAAATGACATGTGTACCTCTTGACCATTTAGCTTTATTTTTAGCGACACCAAAAGATATTTCTAACAGTACACAGCTTAAGTAGTTCTTTCACATCTGGTTAACACTTGCCAAGTGCTTGCTACATACCAAATATTGCACTTGTAGAGTAGTTAGGGATGGAGTTTGTACAAGGAAAGAGGTAACAAGAATGAGGAGAGGAAGGGCAAAACCTCAGAGAGGAAGGAAACTTAAGCCCTAGACAAGGTGGAATTCAGTAGGCACAAGAAGCAGAATAACATTGGGAATAGGCATGGCCTCCCCTCCTCTCCCCTCCCCTCCCCTCCCTTCCCTTCTCCTCCCCTTTTCTTCCTTCCCCTCCCCTCCCTTCCCCTCCCTTCTCCTCCCCTTCTCTTCCTTCCCTTCCCTTTATTTCCCTCTTTTCCTTTCCTTCCACTCCCCTTCCCTTCCCTCCTCTTTTCTCCCCTTCCCTCCCCTCCTCTTTTCTCCCCTTCCCATCTCCCCTCTTTATTTCCCCTCCCCTCCTCTCCCTGCCCCTTCCCCTCCCTCCCCTCTTCTCTCCTTTCCTAACCCCCTTCCCCGTCCGTCCTCTCCACCACATCACAGGTCTGCACCATCAGGACCGGCTGCGTGTGCAGCTTCTTGTATCCGAGGTGGGTGATACAAGGTCAGTCCCTTCCCTACCTTCTGCTCGCCAAGCTCAGCCATCCTCCTGGTTCTGCTGCTGGACCTTCCCCGTGTCGTCCACTCTCCCTATTCCTGCCACTCTCTCTGGGTCATCATTCCCCACACCCAACTCCATCTGATCAGTCTTGACCTCACCTTCCTCCCTCATGTTTGGGCCTAGTAGATCCTGTTTACGAATCTCTTTGTGTCCAGGCCCCTCCTTAAAGTCTAAGACTTGTCTCCCAAAGCCCCTGTGGGACTATGGAGCCCCACAGGGGCAGTGAGAATTTTGTTTCTGAGTCTGTAGTGTTCTGCCAAGGTGTTCAAAGCATACTCCTCTTTAGGAAGCAGGAGTCTTTCAAGCAGTGGGTCTTGCTGGACCACACCCCAGTGCCTAGCTATGTGGAGGCCCCGCTCCGACTTTGCATAGGATATAAGACTTTTCATCTCCAGAACACTCGGAGAAAGGAAACCTATCGCTCAGGCTGAAGCAGGCTGCTTAATCCAATTATAGAAATGGGTTGTGAAATCACCTTCTGGCACTAAAGGGAAACTTTAAAGTAGTTCTAAAAGAAAATTATTCATGGTTAAATTAATTGGAAAGACCTTGGAGAAGATTACAGCCCTTTGTGAAGACAGTTTAGCGTTGTCTTCCGTGCTGAAACGCTCCATGTCACCCACTGTGACTCCTCGGGACTGCAGTTGGTTCTCACCCCGTTTGGCGTCTCAGTGCTTGTCTGTGATTGGGCATGCTGAACACTTGGTCTTTTGTCACCAGGTACTGTACTTAAGGCGACCTCAGCTGACCTCTGCTAGAGATGTTTCAGGAAAATGAATTGCTCCTCCCAGTTGCTATCAGGAAAGGCTCTGCCTGCTTGGGTTCCTTCTGTCATGCCCACACATTAATCCAGCTGGCTTTCACAAACGACTTTTCCCTTCGTCCCTCCATCTTCCATGCCTGCTCCTCCCATGTGCCAGGCACTGTGTAAATTTGAGAGTGAAAGAAGCAGCAGAACCAGCGCTTGAGTGCTTGAGGGAGAGGCAACAGCCCGGCCCGTTATTCAATTTTACAGAGTCTACCATGTTACCGCTCGGCGGAGTCAGCAGACTCTTCGCTCACTGACAGAGTGATGCTGGTTGGCTCTGGGGAGCCAGCTCTGACCTGGGGGAGCCATTTCCTGAGAAGCCAGCTCTGACCTGGGGGAGCCATTTCCTGAGGAGCCAGCTCTGACCTGGGGGAGCCATTTCCTGAGGAGCCAGCTCTGACCTGGGGGAGCCATTTCTTGAGGAACCAGCTCTGACCTGGGGGAGCCATTTCCTGAGGAGCCAGCTCTGACCTGGGGGAGCCATTTCTTGAGGAACCAGCTCTGACCTGGGGGAGCCATTTCTTGAGGAACCAGCTCTGACCTGGGGGAGCCATTTCCTGAGGAGCCAGCTCTGACCTGGGGGAGCCATTTCCTGAGGAGCCAGCTCTGACCTGGGGGAGCCATTTCCTGAGGAGCCAGTACTTGTTGATGCTCCACTGATGGGACAGGTCGGGAGAGAAAGGATATTCAGAGAGGTACCTTGGCTCTTTGAGACTGTCAAGTGTAGACTGTCATGTGTAGACCTTGTGGCAGCCAGAGAGAGCACTTGTGCTCAACGATGACAGACTGTGCACTGTGATGTCTTTGGTGGCTCTAAGTGGGCCCCAGAGATCGCATTTACACCTCGGAAGTCGGCAAGCACCATGAATCTCAGCCTATTTCTTTTGAGAGGTGTAGTTGTTAGACTGGAACTGTACTGAGAGGCCGTGGATGTGGGTAAAACCCACACAGACTCAAGGATGGGGAAACCCGAGGGGAGAAGGTGCAGTCACCTCAACAGGAGAGATGATGCTGAGAGACAGAAGGAATAGCACCCCAAAGGATTGGCCCAAATTGTACCATTGGGGTCTCTGTCAGCCTTAGGTGGTACCTATTTGTTCCTAGAGGAAGTACAAAAGGCCTTTGGGTCCACGGAGCACAACCAACACAGTATATGTGGAGTGGGGGCCCTGGACCAAATGGCACCCACATCCTTTTCAGTTCATTCTGAATTCCTCCTAACCATCTCTCTCCTCTTTCTCTATTCTACTTCTGGCCTTCCAAAATGCCTCCAAGCTCTGGCTCTAGCCCACTGTCTACAGGACTGTCCTGTGTTCCCAAGTTCAGTTCTCCTTCACGGTGCTCCCATGCAATGTGCCTTTCCAGTGCTCCTGAACAAATTTCTTTCCTAGTGCTCCCATATGAAGCCCCTTCCCAGTGCTCCTGTACAATGTCCCCAGTGCTCCCATACAGTGTCCCTTCCCAGTGCCCCTGTTCAATGTCCTCATGGCTCCTACACAATGTCCCTTCCCAGTGCCCCTGTCCAATGTCCCCAGTGCTCCTGTACAATGCCAGCTCCTTTACAGAGTGGTTCTGATCTCAGCCGACAGTAAGATTAGAGTGACATTGTCATGTGCCCACAGATGAGCCATTTAGAAAGATACCTACCTTTAGAGAGAAACTGGTTATTCTAGGCAAGTTTTCCCCACAGTAGGGTCAGGGTTGAATAGATTCATTTGAGCTAGGGCCTGTGCATTGTTCCTTTCTGTGTCCCTCAGGAGCCCAGCATAGCCACTTGGGCAGTGTCTCTTTCTTCAACAGGAACAAAGATGTGTCTGAGGTCAGACTGTTCAATGGCTGGAGCTATTGTTTTTTGTAGTAGTGACTGTGTATAAAGCCAAATGGAGGAGTAGGAATAAGAAGTTGTGGGGAAAGCTTACTTTATATATAGAAGATCTGAATTTAGTCACTTATTTGGAATGCAGTTTTGAACAAAGCAATGAACTGTGTGAGCCTTAGTAATCTCATGTGTAAAATGGGGCCATTCCCTCTTTCCTGGAGCGGTGTGACCTGGTCTGGTGTCTGGGAGGTACAGCCATGACTCAGAGAGGCAGTTTCAGCTTTGACACCACCTCAGTGGTTGTGTGACCTTGGTCAAGTCATTTCATCTCTATGAGCATCAATTAGCACTCATTCAAGTGCACTGAAGAAGTTGCGGTCTGGTTCAAGTATGGAAAGATGCCTGGGTGTGCCCTTATCTATTTAGAATCATAAATGTTTTTTTGCATTAAAGATTGGCAAAACCATAGAATGTTTGTAAGCTTCTGAGTGGACCACATTTTCTTTGTAGAACGTGGGCCAGAGGTACAGATGATCAAACACAAATGACAGATACATCTTCAGTTAACTATTAGTAACAGTTCTTGCTATTTTGTCATAACTTTAATTATATATTTTGTTATTTACATAATTTACCCATACTCAAATTTACCATCAACCATAAATTCATGCCTCCTATTTTTAGCAGTCGAGGATGCTGACTTTCTTTTTTTGTTTTACAAACTGAAAAAGATATCTGGGGAAGCTTTGGCAGTTCCAAATATTATGGGTACCTGCTCACATTTAGTGTTTAGTTTTCAAATAGAAAGCATAATTGAGGAGGCTAAACATATGGTACCCTTTGCCTTAGAAAAGCTACCTGGCACTTAGCATCATTGTCAAGTAAATTTACTTGACATTCAGCAGGTGGTGAGGGAGACTGACATTATACTGAGTTGGTGTGTCTCACTCCATTTTTTCCTGTATGTTGGATGCAGAAGATAAACTGTGGGTGGTATGAACTTACTGAAGTTGGAATGACAAGTTTGCATGCCTCTCAGGAATGGGCATGGAAGAGCACAGAGCCAGCAGAGAGGTTTTAGGTTCCAGAGAAGGAGAGAAAAACTACTGGCCTTACATCCGGCCAGACGCAGATCAGCTACTCATTCCCATACCCAGCCTCTGTCCAGGTGTCTGCCCCTCCTGTTCTCACTCAGTTTAGAGATGCTGGGCTGCCACGCCTGGTCCTTGGCAGGGGTCTCGCCTGAGATCAGCGTGTCAGAGATCAATAAGCAGGACGGGGCTCTCTGGAAGAGGTCGCTCCTCCCCTTGATGGTAGAGGGCAGAGGTCGGTGGACTGAGGAGGCAGCGTGTCACGTGTCACAGATGGATGCCCCATGCCCTGGGGTCGGTGAGAATGGGAGAACTCCTTCCAAGGAGCCTCCACGCAGTCCCTCTGCAGTTCTGTCTGTCACTGGCTCAGTTTGGTACAGCCCTAAACTGAGTGTTTGGATCGTGTGGACAGAAGGGTCCCTGTGCCAACCAGAGGACTGACTGCAGCCATCCAGGAGCTGCTTGCCTTATGGGATAAGGGGGCCGCCCACTGCGATGACAACTGTGCGGTCAGAGACGAGAACAAGATGGCGGCAGTCTGGATGGCTGTGGGTGCGGGGCACAAACTTCTGTCCTCCTCTCTTCCCCCTGTGAGGTCATCGCAATTGGTTCAGAACTCCCTCTTCACACCCAGCACAGTCGGGGGAAGAGGAAGCAAAGGTCTATTTCCAAGAGGCTGCAGGGAGTGGAAGTGTACTCCTCTGTGCATGGGTAGCATCCCTCTGTTCTGGGATTTCCTTTAGTAGTAGCTCTGGGACAACCTAGGCTGGCATGTGTTGTTCTGTCTGGAAGATGTGGCTGAGGGATGGGTCAGGTTTTGTTTTTTACATTTTTGACAGTTCTTTGAGAATCTGTTTGCCCCCCCCCATTTAAAAATACTATTTTAAAAATGTGTATGAGTATTTTACTTCCATGTATCTCTATGCACCACATGCATGCAGTGCCCGCAGAGGCCAGCAGAGGGCATCTGATCCCTGGAAGCGGACTTCGAGAAGGCTGTGAACTGTATGTGGGCTCTGGGAATTAAACCCAGGTCCTGAGCTGGGCGGTGGTGGCGCACACCTTTAATCCCAGCACTCGGGAGGCAGAGGCAGGCGGATCTCTGTGAGTTCGAGGCTGGGCTGGACCGATAGCCTCCAAAACAATACAGAGAAACCCTGTCTCGAAAAAACAAAAAAAAAAAAAACAGGTCCTGGGCAAGCGCTTTGGTGATCTTAACTGCTGAGTCATCTTACCAGCCCACCTGTTCCCCCATTTCTCATTGACTCTTGGAGAATTTCAGGTGGACTCATTTTCATAAATATGAGCATCACCTGAGAGGACAGGAGAGTCCCAGTTACCGGTCCTTAACCTGCAGTACTCACTCTCCCAGCTCGGGTGTAGAGGTCTAACTGCCTTTGGCTTTCAGATTAAATGAACCCAGGCCTGACTTCTTTGCACGCCCCAATAAGTGTCTCTCCCTCTTGAGCTTCTTTCTAGTACTGCTGCCTGGGAAAAGAAATCTAGAGGTCACATTATCAGCATGTCACCCATGGCGGTGTGCCTGGATCTTAGAAATTAAGAATCCCCTCAGCCCTGCTAGATGCAGGTTCTGATTCAGCAGGACAGGGCTGGAGGTCCAGGCCTCTGAGGGATGTTGATGCTGTAAGTCTAGAGACATATCTAGGACAGCAAGGGACTGGTTCGTGGTCCTTTTCAGGTCATAGTGTCCATGACAATAGCAAGGCTCTGGCTGCCTCAGGCCTCACGTATGCCAGAGCTGAGAAAGTCAACATCCCGGCTCATCTTTGACCTCTTCATGGCTCCGTTGAGAGGAGAAGACAAAGTGTAAACCGCACAAATCCATCACAGTCCATAGAGTGGGAAAGGCTCATTTGCTCACTTTCTCCTGTTGCTATTGCAAGTGGCCCCCAGGGTGTCTGCCAGAATTGCACATCTGTCCCAGCAGAGTTTTCCTTGGATGTGGAGAGGGAAGGGGGAGAAGAATAAGACGTTTCTTCCAGCTGTTAGTCAGCTGTGGGTGTCTCTCATCCTGTACAGCTCTTTATATATGCGTGGCTGCTTTGGGGTGTGTATATGTATTTGTGTGACCTGTTCTCCGGTGTGCACAAGTACATGTGTGTGTGCACCTGGACTCAGCCATGTCCTCTAAGATATACTCATCCTGCCGGGAGAATAGGAGTCAAATGTGGCGGGGGCATCAAACACCTTCTCTGCTCAGCCTCGCTCTCATTAGACAACCAGCCTCCGGTTTCCCTGGTCACGTCCCCTCCGGGGCTCTTGGCTTAGCTCGTATCACCTAATCTGACCTCCTCTAGTCTGTGAGATACTTCAACGACTTTTCAAGAAAGTAGACCCTTAATACCAAAACTGAAAACCACTGCCTTCCCAGGAGAGAAAGGGCAGCCCTCTGTTTCATTCAAATACATGGCTTATTCTGCCCTGTCCTGGACCACTGTGTCTACTTGCTCTTCTTTTCCAACAAAAAGGGTCTTTCCGATCACCTTCCCAGGGCAGCAAAAGTCTCCACATCAGCCTTTGTTTTATTGAAGTAATGACTAAAACATACAGCAGTGTCTCTTGGCCTGCGCTTGCCTGCCTCATGACTGGATACTCCAGGCACCACGCTCAGTCTGCCTGAAGCAGCTCTCCTTTCTCCCCAGGTCCATATTCAAGCCATTCATCTTTGTTGATGACGTAAAACTTGTCCCCAAAGCACAGTCACCCTGTTTTGGCGACGATGACCCAGCCAAAAAGGAACCTCGGTTCCAGGAGAAGCCAGACCGCCGGCATGAGCTGTACAAGGCTCATGAGTGGGCACGTGCTGTCATCGAGAGTGACCAGGTGAGGCAGGAGGAGGTCCAGGGATGATGGTGGCAGTCAACGGGAAAGGAGGCAGAGAGGTAGCTTGCACACACCCCCTCTCCTCGCTAGCCTGACAGGTCTCTCTCAGAAAGAGAAGGCAGGAGTTACCTTTCCTACAACTCTCCTGAAGCCAAAGAAAAGGAAGCCTCTGATTTTGTTATTACTCTGAATCCAGCAGGTTGAGGATCTCTTCCTCATCTGCTATTAAACTTGGAGTAGCTTATCACAGGCTCAGGCCTGCTCCATTCTGCACCTGCTGGGGTCCTTAGTGGTCATACGCTTGGCTTAGTGTCTCTAATATGCTCGGGTCTCCACTGCAACTCAGGTTGTGTCTTCACCAGTGGCCTCTCACAGTGCCAAGACTCGGCTCAGAGTCATATGAGCAATGGGAAGAGACTATTATGGGGTGTAGCAATACATATGGATGAAGGAGATGGATATGCCAGGCAAGAGGCCAGAGTGCCCTGACTACCACTCAGAAGTCAGGACTTTAAATCTGTGGGTGGGTGTGTTTGGAGCAGGCTGATGTAACTGCATTCTAGAGCATCCCCAGTAGCGGTCTGGGTACAGAGGAGGGAGTAGATAGATGATCCTATAGGCAGGAAGTCAGTGTCCACTGCCATGACGCATACCGTCCTGCATGGCTTTGTCCCTCCTCAGGAGCAAGGCCGCACGCTGAGGAAGACCATGCTGGAGCTGGAGAAGCAAGGCTTGGAAGCCATGGAAGAGATCCTAAGCAGCCCCGAGCCCCCGGACCCTGCCGAGGTGGGGGACCTTTTCTACGACTGTGTGGACACCGAGATGAAGTTCTTTAAGTGATGTAAGCACCCTCGCCCTTACTTAAAACTTCCCACCTAACTAAATTACCAGCAGAGAAACACTCTTCTGTTTGAGTAAAATGAGACTTACCATGTGGCCGCCTTGTGTCTAAATGTTCCCTCTGTTCAGCTTAGCAACCCCCCTTGGCTATGTAACTCGATCCCACATGCCTCCTGCTCCATTGTGTGATAAGCTGTGGGCCTGAAGATGTTCTTGTATTTCAGTGACAATGGGCACCTTAGGAGAGCGAGAGTTTCCCCCAGCCTTGGACAGGGCTGCAAGGCCAGGCTGGTGGGAAAGACCGGAGTTGTGAAGGTCCTAGTCCCTCTCTAGATAGTGGTTTCCTCGAGGTTAACAAAAGGCTTTTGTTCATACTGAAGACTCTTGTGTGTGTAGATGGGGGAGAACCCCCCCCAGCTTTCCCCCACAAAGCACAGGCTTATGTATGTGCAGCTCACAGTCCCCACAGGTATGTCTTGGGAAACAAAGCTAATGGGAAGGGACAGAGGATCCTGGGGACAGTCCCAGCTCTGCACCAGTGATTGTGACTCTGAAAGACCTGTCCTCTGTGAATTGTGCCCATGCGCAGTAGACCAGACCTGCTTCCGGGTCGTGCCCATGCGCAGTAGACCAGACCTGCTTCCAGATGCAGGAGAGCTGGGCGTCCGTGTTAGCTGGACCTCCCCATCCAGCACGGCACCCGCCCGTGTATAGATGACTTGCGATTGGATCGTCAGCAACATGTAGAAGATGCGTGAAATGGCCTCGGCAGAGTTCACAACTTTAAATCTCAGCCAATGAGGGAAAGAAAAGGGACTCCTGACTGTTGAAAGCCCCTGGGTCCAGGCAGCACTGTCTCGATGGAGACTGGAATTCAACTCACTTGTCTCCAGCATCGTTGTGTTGCAAAAAGGACTCGACTCCTCTGGAGGGGTGTGGGGAAGACAGGGCAGGCTGAGGACAGATGGCTGTGCCCACTGCCTGGTTACCTAGATTCCCGCATGTCAGTGTGCTGAGCACCTGACCTCCAGGGTCTCCCCACTTAGTTCTTATGCCCCACTGCCGAGCAGCTGCCTTTGGATTGGTGTTGAGAATGAGAGGATGTGGGAGCTTATCCACCGCCACTGCCCACGACTCCTGAAGGGGCCAAAGCGGGTAGGGATGACTGGCAGACGTGTAGATTAGAGGAACGGCTAGTGGGGGTGTGCTGCAGGGCCCACTTATATGTCGTCATTCTTGACAGGGCTGAACACACAGGCGCTGTCCCTCAATGGCCTCAGGCATGGCTTAGGGTCCCCGGATCCTTCCTACCACGGGCTGGGAGAGCTTGCAGGGACCTGAGCCCACATTTCACAATGTGATGCAGGCCAGATGCTTCATTGGGACAAATATCTTCTCTTTCAGCCCTCCTGTAAGAGGGTGTATGTGCTGTGAGCCCCTTTCTCGACTGTTCCGTGAGTTCCATGTATAAACAAATGGCAAAACGCGAGAGATGGGACAAGCTCATGACACCCAATGGTGGCTTGCAGTTGCTAGGGGCTTTGGGCAGGCTGACCGCAGCGTCTGATGTGGATAATCAGAGAGCACAGGTCCAGGGCTAAGCCGAAAGTGCCCGCGGGCGCAAATGGAAGAAGGGTGACGTTTGGGGAGAAACAGTTGCCTGTCCCACCCCACCCGCCGAGTTAGTTAAGTGAGGTGATGCGGAGAGCCATCCTGTGATTCCCCTGTGTGGTCTCACCGCCACGTGTGAAGCCAACACACCAGATCTGACCTGTCTGAGACAGCCAAGACCATTCAGGGTTCGATCAGAAGTCCAGTGAAAGTAAATGTCACAACAACCCTCTTTCATTACTTTGGCCAAGGTTGTAGACGGCTGTGCCAACTTGATGTCACCTCAGGTGGGCACTGGAAAACACAGTGGCTACTTCTATTATTGGATATTGATCTTAGCCCAGCATCACAGAGAAAGGCCAACCCTCTTGCTCGGAGCATTGTACATCTCAACCACGCTGTCGTCTTACCACTAGAGGGCGCAGGAGCCCACTGAGGGCAACCTGGCAGCAGTTAAGGCCTCTGGTTTTTCCCTTCAGTCAATGGTTAAGAACTGGGTTGGGGTAGAAACTTTTCTCACTGGGATGGGTGGGAACAGACACAAGGAAAATAAGGAATCTGGTGAGGTTCCTGCATGTACTTTAGTGACTTTATCTAAATTAACAGCAGAAATGATGCTGGATTTTGAGTAGGCAGATGTAGAAGAATATTTGTTTTAAAATGCTCCTAGTGGATTTCTCTTTGAAGAAAGGCTTCTTTCATGGTAATTTCTTAATCAGGGGTTAGTTTTCTGAACAGCACAGAGAAAGTGGATATCCAGGATGAAATAATATGGAATGTTTAAGATCACTCTGTAAATGACTTCCCAGAAGGCCACCAGTTAAGCCTGGAGGGTGGGGGGTCCTGAGCACACTTTGTGCAGAAAGAAGTCATGACCATTAAGGACAGACTGCCTGCCCCCACCTGCCGTAGAACCTAACGTAAGCTAGCTAGTCCTGTGTGGATGAGATTTCCACTGGGCGAAAACAGCATGACCGCTGGGGGCAGACGCTTGAGCCGACGTTAAGTTAGCAATTAGGAAATAGTCTTTTATCATTCCTGGGTGTGTCTGGAAGCTGTGGTAGAACAGGGACCTGATAAAAGCTGTGGAGACTTAGCCCAACCCAAGATCAGTGTTTGTAGGCGTCAGCAGCTATAAAAATAATTGTCGACCACAAAAAAAATAATAATAATGTCAATCCCACATCCATACCACTTCTGGAAGGCCCTCAGGGCAGCCAGGTGTGAGTGTCTGGAAGTCACTGGCTGCTTTCTTTCATTGCAAAAGGTCTTCAGCGGAGAGCTCCCCTTTGGGAGAAAACGTGAGGAAGCCAGGAGGGGGGCCGTGGAGGGAGAGCTTCGGCAGGTGGAGGGCAAGCGTAGCATCTCCTCTGTGCCTCCCTTAGCTGTGGGGCTTCACGCCACATGGCTCTGTGTCCCGGCTCCTGTTCTGTGGTGTGTGTCAAGTGCGTTTTATCTGGCTGAAGCCAACCACCCTGAAATATCACACACAGAAATTTTGCAGGAATGATACATGTCTTAAATCACCTGAGAACTGAAATGCCATAGAACCTTTGTTTCCTGTGTTGGGGGAACCGACTGTGTGGTCTTAACAGCCTTTTGTACAAATATCTACAAGTCGAATAATGTCCCTATCCAGTGCTTGCCCTCAGGAGTGTCTTTAAATGCACCAAGTGTACAATAAAAATATCAAAGTCAATACCCAGGAGCCTCCTTTTTTTTTCTGTGTGTGTATCATGAACACAGTCAGCACCAGTCACAAGACAAATGTGTAAAGGAACTGTACTTTTCTGATTTGAACCCTTAGAAAATGCAGTTACTTCAGCAGGGCCTTACACTAAGTGCCACCGTGAAAACAAATCCACTATTTAAAAATAAACCCCAAGCCGGGGGGTTGGTGGTACACACCTTTAATCTCAACACTCGGGAGGCAGACACAGGTGGATATCTGTGAGTTGGAGGCCAGCTTGGTCTACAGAACGAGAGCCAGGATAGACTCCAAAGCTACACAGAGAAACCCTGTCTCGAACAAAAACCAAAAAAATAAAATAAAATAAAAAATAAATCCAAACTATAACCATATACCTTGGGGCTGGAGAGATGGCTCAGAGGTTAAGAGCACTGACTGCTCTTCCAGAGGTCCTGAGTTCAATTCCCAGCACCCACATGGTGGCTCACAACCATCTATAATGAGATCTGGTGCCTCTTCTGGCCTGGAGGCATACATACAGACAGAATACTGTATACATAATAAATAAATAAATCTTTAAATAAAACTATAACCATATACCACTCAGCTCCATCAGAACAGCAGCAGAACAAGAATTGACTACCCTGCAGGCCTTAAGCTTCAGGATCTCCACAACACAGGGCAACAGCAGGATAACAAGAGGAGTCCCAGTGAGGGCCTAGCATCAATAGTGTAGCAGAAACCAGAGGCTCGAACCAGACCAATGACCCTCTGTAATGAACACTTGGCAGTAAAGATTATGGGCAAAAGCATTAACTGCGCAATTCACTATGTCACTATTCATCTTCCATGATGAGATTCCCCCCCTTTTTGTTCTTAAATTTTACTTGGGGGTATGTGCAAGGGCAGAGGGCAGATACTCAGGGACACAGATACTCAGGGACAGGAAATGAATGGAATCGAGATGCATGATGTGAAAGACACAAAGAATAAACTAAAAAATTTTTTTTAAAGAGTCAACTACCATGTAGGGAGCTGGAAACATCTTACACGGCTGGCAGGAAAGAAAATGGTGCCCACTGTAGATTATGGCGATTTGTCAGGAAATTCCCTATGACCCAGCAATTCTACTCCTAGTGTGTACCAAAGGAATTGCAAGCAAGGCTGGAAAAGATGCCTGTCCGGCCGCCTTCCTCGCCTATTAAATTATCTATAGGGGAGTGGATGGATGGTTACATATGTGGTACATCTGTACAGTGGAGTACTTACTATCCAGCCTTTAAAGGAGAAGGCAGTTGTGATGCATGCCACAGTATGTATGGACATTCTGGACATTCTGTTGGGCAAAATGAATTGGTCACAAGAAGACACAGATAACTCTGTTTACGTGAAATACCGAGAGGGGACAAATACACAGACTCCTTGCTTTCATCACTTACGTCCACATACACATTTACACCCCGGTTTGGATGATGGGGAAACTGAGGCACACCTAAGTAGGTTAGTCCCCCAAACTCAAGAGACTCATATCCTTGTTTGCCTTTCAACTCCAGTTCCCGCCACCTCCCCAGTAGAGAAACCTCAGCTCCCCTGTGCCAGGCTTCCTTGTCCACGAGAACCACAACTGTGTAGGGGATAGGACTCCGCCCATCAGAAAAGGCTCCTTTGAAGGGCTGGCGGAGTTGCAGGGGAGAGACCAAGTGCTTTGGGTTGAAGGTTTCCTTAGTGCTGCGTGCGTAGAGTCCCGGGTTCGATCCCCAGTAAGACAAAACTTTCCCATTTTAACACATTGGCAGAATTTATAAATCAACATACTTGGCGCATACTGTAGTAATAAAACGGGTAAGTGTATTGTTGCCTATTTTTAAAATGTATATGGTTAAATCCTTCCCCCCACCCTCGCACAACAAAGATTTTCATAGGGGGCTGGAGGGATGGCTCAGTGGTTAAGTGATAACTGCTGAATGCTCTGGGGGAAAGTCTGACGTCATCAACTAAGATGGGAGACTTGAATACAGACCTGGAGAGAAAGGAAGGCTGTGTCAGCCAGACCGAGCCTCTGCCAGGGGTACCTCGTGATAAACCAACTGAGGCAGCTGGGAGCAGGCCAAGAGACACTAACAACCATTTACAAAGGTTGATGCCTCGTTTAAGCCCTACTGATCCCTAAAGATGTGTCTTAGTGCCCAAGTCTGACTGCTACGCATTGCACTTCTGCACCATAGTGTACTATATTCCAGATTAATCATCACATGTCCATCAAAGAGGCTGAGATCAGTACTGGTGACCACAGATAGGCTTTGCAGGGAAACGACCACAGACATCGCCACTTATTAAAGTTTATTGGGTACAAAGGAGTGAATCTGCAGCAGGAGACACGGGTAAATATAAAATACAGGTGAGACGCTGGGAGGTCACAGTCTGTGATGTAAGGGTGGGCGAGGATGGCAGGGACGCCTCCACGTGAGTTCATGGTCAAGGGCCCAACCTGTACTCTACCCGTGGGAACTGGACGTGCCCGCTTGAACTTGGAGGCTGGTAGCTTCAGTGATAGGTCTGAAGGAGAGCTGCTAGGCCAGATTCCTGAGATTGCTCCCTGCTTGCTGTTTTTGGTTTCTGCTTGTTCTTTCCCTCTGTCTTTAAATAGTTTAAAAATTATTTGTGTTGTATGTACCTGTGTGTGTGCGCATGCAGGCGTGTGTGTGTGTGTGTGTGTGTGTGTGCGTGTGAACAAAGGCACATCTGTGCACAAGTATTTGGAGGTCAAAGGCCAACAACAGGTGTCCTCTCTCTCTCTCTCTCTCTCTCTTCTTATTAGCATTCCTTACTAAACCTGCAGCTCAATAATTTGGTGGGGTTGGCTGGTCACTGACCTTCCTGGGGTCAGCAGTCTTGACTTAACTGCCAGGACCTGGGTTACAGACATGCACCCCTATGCCTGGCTTTTATGTAGGTCCTGGGGATATGAACACAGGTTCTCATGCTTGGCCCGCAGGCAGTCTACTGACTGAGACATCTCCCCAGCAACTCTTCAGTAGTTTTAATTTCTGTCCCAGCAGTGCAGAACATGAGCCCGTGAGCAAGTCACTGGGCAAGCAGCAGACTGCTAGTGGCCCTCTTGTAATTACTAAAACTCCAGGATTATTACTTTGCAAGGCTGGGAGGAGAAGGGAGTGGAGCCTGACCTTCCTGCAAACTTCCAGAACCAATACAACAAATCAGCAGCATGGGAGCTTCATGTCCCTTGATGTAGTTACAGTGGCTTGAGTCATGCTCCGGAGATGGGACTTGACCCTGGCTCAGTTTCTACTATCTCTAATGAGAAAGCACAACACCAGTGTAGGACATTTGCTCCGAAACACAGTCAGGTGCCTGCAGACACATGGCTGAACACTCTCCCTGTCCATCATCTCTGGATGGCCTGACCTGGGCTAATGTTCCTGTCCGTGTGAGTGCCCGAGTGGGATGCTCCGTTGCACACCATTCCTTGCCCTCCTCCTCCTCCTCCTCCTGTCCACAGCTATTCCGAGCACAGTGCAGAAATCCTGTTTCCCTCTATTTCCCCCCTTCTCTGCTATAGCCTTGCATTCGGATGGGAGCATTTGGGGCCTGACAAATGCAAAAGCATACTTCCCTCCCTTGGGGCTCAAAGGTGTTGAGAGCAGCCCCAGCCTGGCTTGGCCCTCTGTCCAGGGCAGCTGAACTTGCTGTGTATATCTGCCTGCCACCCCAGGTGCACGCCACACGGCAGGAGAGCCATCAGACATCTGTGCTTTTCAGCTCAGAGGGAAATGCCCTCGGGCAGAGAGGTGTTCTGGGATTCCCACCGATGGAATGCTTTGCTCTTCCGTATGTGTTTGTATGTGGGTGTGTGTGTTCCTGTGTGGAGTGTGCATGCACATGTATGTGTGAGCCTGTAGAGACCAGAAGTCATCTTTGGGTGTTGTGGCCTCAGGAGATACCATCTTGTATTTTGCAACAGTGTGGCTCTCGGGGACCTGGGACTCCCTGGTTAGACTGACGGGTCAGTGAGGCCCAGGGATCTGGTTGACTCTGTTTTCCCATGGGATAACAAGTGTGTACTGCTGCCGTCCAGCTTCATGTGGGCTCTGGCAACTGAACTCAGGTCCTTAGGATTGTGAGGCGAGCATCTTATCAACAGAGCTATCGCCCCAGGGTTATTTGTTCTTTCAATGTATGCTGTATTTTCCATGTAAATCCTACACTCAGGGTGGGGCTTGGGGGAGAGAGACCTCTGAGGTAAAAATAAGCTTATCATAATCATGAGCTATATACATTTATAATCTGCAGGGGTGGAAAGATATCAAAATCTCATAAAGCTAACTTTATCCTGACTACCAGGATGGAGTGAAAGCTTGGAGGGGCAGAAGGAAACGTGATGGAGACTGGGCACTAGGGATGCTGTAAACAGTAAAAGCACTGGCTGCTTGTCAAAGAATCCAGTTACAAAAGGGGCCCTGCGGAAGGCATGTGAGGGGCCAAGCCCACTCCAGTCTTTGCATTGGGATATATTTACATTAGGCAGCAAAATGGCATCCCTGTACTGATAAAAGGAAGTGAGACGTGGCATCTCGCTCACTGGAGGCTGTCTGGCACTGCTGGGACCTGGGGACACGCCGCTTCCTCCGAGCTGCATGGCTTATAAGGCATTATCTGGTTTGATTTTGCAGTTGGTGTGATGAGAATCATGCCAATTAGAAGCTGTTGTGGATTTTTATGACTCTGAGACTACTTGAAAACTAATGAAAAAAATGTTTCGGAATCTAGGAAGGACCAGCCTGCAAGCATATTTTATAGTCACAGTGGACACTACAGGGTGGGATAGGGCTCCATCTGTACAAACAGACAAAGGCCAAGATGCATATTTAAAAATATTAAAATATTACTCAAATAGAAGTTGACTAAAGTGGTGTTTTAAAGTTCGTGCAAATCATTATTTACAGTAACTAACGCTCTGTTCAGAGCCTGCCTGTCAAATGAATAGAGCTGGAGCATGGTAGAGTCTTGATGAGCTATCCTGGTGTCCATCCAATAAAGAACCCCAGGGCCTTGGCTTCATCCATCTTCTCACCGGAGTGCCTTCAGAGATAGCTGCAGAAACACGACAGAGCATTACTGAGAAGGGGCCAGAAGACTCACTGCCCACAAAAGACCCACCGGGCCTGGGATCTCAAACTTGTCTTGTAAGCAAGGTGGCCCCATCATGTACAAGGAGATTTTGTTTTACTTTGTGCCCCTCCCCCAGGGACTGAGAATGGGAAGAGGTAAAGGGGACATGAAATTGGTGGTATGTGGAGACCTGATACTGTCTTATGAACATTTATGGAAGCCATTGGTGGTATGTGGAGACCTGATACTGTCTTATGGTCATTTATAGAAGCAATTGGTGGTATGTGGAGACCTGATACTGTCTTATGAACATTTATGGAATAAATATTACAAAAGCAATGGGAATATCAGGCAGAGGTCAGAAAGTCACCCTGGGTAACTCCTTGACCTTCTGCAACAAGTTTCCCTTTGTGGAAAGAGATGAATTTCTCTCTCCGGCTTGACCATCAGGCTATCATGGAGGGTCAAATGAGAGAACATAGACAAGCTAACTGAAAAAATGGAAAAAGCTTTGTAAATGTAGGGACTGGGGTTATGGCGATTGTTTTGTTTTTCTGATTATAAAAATTATAAAAATATTAGAAAATATAGGACTGGTGAGATGGCTCAGAGGGTAAAAGCCCTGACTGCTCTTCCAGAGGACCCAGGTTCAATCTCCAGAACCCACAAGACAGCTCTCTGCTTCCCACTACAGGTGCAAGGTGCCCAGTTACCTCAAGTGGCTGCCTCCACAGATGTGGAATGCTGCCCTCACTACGGTTGTTTCTGTAAGGTGTTTTATCAGCGTGACGGGAAAACTGACTAATGTTGACCTAGTCATTGGTGTTTGAATCCCCAAAGGGGGAGACAGAAAAATGGAAGGGAAGAAGGGAATCTACCAGAGAACATTCTAGCCTGGAGGGGAGAGGCTTGCAACAACTTGGTGGGGGGAGTGAGAAAACAATGGATGCTAACATCAGCATCTGAACCTCTGGTGAGAAAATGATGGATGCTGACATCAGTACCTGAACCTCTGTGATCTGGAAAAGTGAGGGAGTGATTGGAGCATGGATCCCAGGATGCTGACATCAGTACCTGAACCTCTGTGATCTGGAAAAGTGAGGGAGTGATTGGAGCATGGATCCCAGGATGCTGACATCAGTACCTGAACCTCTGTGATCTGGAAAAGTGAGGGAGTGATTGGAGCATGGATCCCAGGATGCTGACATCAGTACCTGAACCTCTGTGATCTGGAAAAGTGAGGGAGTGATTGGAGCATGGATCCCAGGATGCTGACATCAGTACCTGAACCTCTGTGATCTGGAAAAGTGAGGGAGTGATTGGAGCATGGATCCCAGTTATCTGGAGGAGTGGGTAGTTTCTGCCCCACGTGTGTACAGGTTGCTCCACGAGGTCTTTCATCGGGGTGTGGGTGGGAAATGGCTAGCTGCTGATGTCTTATGAGTTGAAACTGAGCAAAATCAACTAGTTTACAGCCCAAGACTTTCCTGGACATTGCAAGTCTTCAGTTGATACCAGAAGTGCCAGAGACATCACAGTCCAGGCATAGTGGCAGACCCTGGTGCCTCCTACCTTATGGTCTTCCCAGAATCCTTTTTTCCACCTGTCAATAATCTTGCAGGAATCTGTCCTCCCTCCCTTTTCCCCCCTCATGATCTTGCTTTTGAACCTGTGGTTATCTGAGAGTGGTTTCTACGACTCTTGAATTACCTGTGTTTAGAAAACGGGGTGTGGTCTGATTGGGAGAAAGTAAGCACTCCTCTGGGGTGGCGGGAGCTTTCAGGACTCTAGTACCTTCTAAGCCAGGCTATTTCTTTAAGGTGTCATACAGTTGCTGAATGACCCAGTTCATCAACAGCCAACCTGCTGTCTGATACACAGAACTTGGGAACAAGTGTAGGCCAAGGCAGACTAAATTCATGTGTTTGGAGAAACAAAGGATTTTTTCTTTTTTTTTGGGGGGGGGGACAAGGTTTCTCTGTGTAACAGCCCTGGATGTCCTGGAACTCTCTTTGTAGTTCAGGCTGGCCTTGAACTCACAGAGATCCACTTGCCTCTGCCTCCTGAGTGCTGGGATTAAAGGCATGGGCCACCACGCCCAGCAACAAAGAATTGTAAAAGAGAAGACCATATCACATGTAATGAGAGATGTTGTCTCTATCCAGGTTAGAAAACTCTCTGTATAAGTTATTTAGGCTGAGAACAAGGACATTTATGTGTTTTTTCCTTCCAGCTTTGACAATTACAAGTAGCTAAGGGCACTTAAATTGTGATGAAATTTTGGTCAAAATCAAATTAATGTTGATGCAAGAAAAGCCCCCCAAAATTATCTAATCTATAGGTGAGCGAGAACACCGCATCATATGCTACAGATCTTGTTGGGTTTTCCCCGGGCTCATCTCAGGGGGATGAGACTGCAGGATCCGAGTGAGTAAAGCTCTTCTGTATGAGGTAGCAACCTAAGGAAAGAAAGCTACAAGGCAGACTGTAGGTCGTTCCTTCCGGCCTTTAACGAATGGCACTCTCAGGAAAGAGGAGTCAGAGGAGAAAGCTAAAGCTGTTGAGAAGTCCCTGCAGGGCAGTGGTTCCGACCTTCCTAATGCTTCGACCCTAAGTACCGTTCCTCGTGCTGTGCTGACCCAGGCCACAAAATCACTTTGTCATTACTTCATAACAGTACTTTTGCTATTGTTATGAATTTTAATATAACTATCTGACATGTAGGACCCCCCCCCCACAGATTGCGAACCACGGCTGCAGAGGCTTCCAGGCTTTACATTCGGAATCCAGAGAGGTGTTACCTGAGAATTTCTGCTTTTGATGTCATCCGAGCCCTGCCCAGCTGCTTCAGCTTGGAGCCAGGAACCAGGTGTGCGGCCTGGGAGAAACAAGAGTAACCTCACCCACTGTCTATTGGCCCAGGGCCTCTGTACCCTGTGGAGATACTTTCTGCTAAACCAGCACTTAAAACACCGGCAGAGGATCCCCAGGCAACATGAGCCTAACCTGAAACCTTCTGCCATCTGGCCCCTGAGTATGTGTTTCCATCTTCTGTGTCACAGACCATGTGCTCAGGGAGCCACTGGCAGTGATGCATAAGGAAGCCTTCCTGACTGGCATGTACCCAGCCTCTGGGTACACTTCTCCATCTGCCGCTGTGACATACCAAGTACTGCGCAGGTACTACCGGCTGACACAGTTCAGGGTTCCATTTGGTGAAGCTTCAACAATATATCTTTACCTCCAAATAGTACTGTGCTTCAATACTGTGCAAGCTGCACAGGATATAATGCCATAATTAAGAACTGAAAGAATGTAGAAGGTAATGGGGGGGGAACCCCAATGCCTCTTAGCCTGCATGCCCACACTCAAGTCCAATTTCTCGTGCTAGTGTCACCACAGCAAAAGTCTGAAGTTTTTAAACGATGATTTACTCGAGTTTTAAATTCACATCTCTAGGTGTTTCCATGTTTTCCCTTCGGTCAGCGGCTCTGAGCCTCATCTCCTGGCGTCTTGGTGTGTCTTCCGCCGAGGTGTTCGGCTGGAAGTCTTTGTCACCTGTCCCTTGTCCTGCTGCTGCTGGGGACACATATCACAGTGTGCCCTAGAGACTGGGTTTCTGAGTTATTTAAAAAGCCACATGGTGACTGAGGACAGTCTGACAGAAGGATTAGGTGCTGGGAGTTTTAAGGTGACATGATATTGCAGCAAGCAGCTGCTTGAATGCTTACGGAGATGATTTGGGGAGGTGAAATTGTATGGAAACAAAAATCTAGGTTTTTCAAATCCATCAAAAACCACAATAAGCTATTTCCCCTCTTGGGTGGTAGAATTGCCATTAAAAAACTTTCCCAACACTATGGAACTTTTCTACAGTGTGCAAATTTGGCTCTGTAACAGTCTTACAGGGTAAGGCACAGCTTTCAAAGACCATCAACATCAGAGCACAAAGAGCTTTGAAATGCAAAACAAACAAACAAACAAACAAAAAAACACTAATCAAGGTGGGGACTGTACTTGTTCGAGAACAAAGATGTTTTGGAGCAAATAGAAGAGAGAATGCTATCTTTTCAGCTAGTTTGAGTAAAACATACCAAGACACTGACATCCCTGAGGCACTTCCACGTGAGGCGGCAGCCTTGTGGGTCCTTAGCTTTAGAAACGGCCTGTGTGCAACAGAGGGCCCTCTCACTGGTGTGTATTTCCTGGCCCAGCTTTTACAAGCATTTCAGCTCTAGTCACTCAGTACCCATGGCAGCCTTGCCCAAGCCCAGGCCTCCTGGTAACTACCACACAGGACTCTAGATATGACCCATTGCCTCTGGGCACATTTGCCTCCATCTGAAAACCACTGGCTAGTAACATAGGTAGGCAGTTCCTATCAGCTTCCACAAGCTAGTCAGAGCAGAGAGGCTGGAGGAAAAGCAGCTTCTCCATGAAAATGTGGGTAAACTCCACATCTGGTTGCAAGAAAAACTTCACTGCTGTTGGAAGTGAGTGGTTGGGCATCCTCGGGGGGGGGGGGGGAGTTAGGATTTTCCCATGTGAGGTACCACTAGACTCTCTGGGGCCGCTCTGTAAACAGTGCTTCCCACATGTTTCTGTACGATGGGCATTTCAGATGCAGTGGAATGCCGATGCTCTCACTTTTGCTTCAGCAGCTCATAGCATGAATTGTATCTCTCCCTCTTCCCCAGCTCATGTCCCTGCTGTACTGAGAGCCAATAGACTGCCATCTCCTGGTTCACTCACCGACACAGCTTAAAGGTTAGCTGTGCTTGGACTAAGAGCCTCTGAGGACTTCTAGCCTTACTTTTCATCATGTGCAAACCAAGTGTGCCTTATTATCTCTTCTAAGCACAGCCATACTTCCATATTACGGGTAAAATCCATTTACAGGCAGCAGGAGGGTGGCCAGCTGACTCGGGCAGGGAGCAGACAGAGACTCTTAGATATGCCAACACCAACCTGGGAGAGCAAGTCCGGTGAACTGTTTGGGGAAAGGCGGTTCTTACAGAGATCAGACCTGTCAGTCAAGGGCCAACACTGCCTAAGCCCTGCAGGAAAGTGAGGAGGCGGCACCAAGAGGGGCCGAGAGCACTGGGTATGGAGCACAGAACACAGGCACGAGCCTGCCTTTGTCACCAGGTGGAGACATTCTTGGCTGTATATGGAGAAATTGAGCCAGGTGGCCTTAAACAGCCTTCCTAAGTGGAAGATTCTAAACTTGTAACATTGTCCACCTGGTTTTACCCACCTTCCTCAGCCGTCACTGTCACAGCATCAGCTGGCATGAAAGGGACCAGATCCCTTCAATAGAGGCCAGCCCACTTGTCCCCTTAGCTGGGCTAGTTTACATTCACCGGTCCCCATTTCCCCCTGTACAGGTACGTGAGCCAGAATTGGGATAATCCTCTCCTCTCCTCCAATCACTTTCAACTTAAAATTAGTTTTCAAAGTCAGACAGCAATATGCATTTATTATAAAAATCTGGACAGAATAGTAAAGAAAAAGAATGAAAGCCACACAGCACTTCCCCACACTACACGACACAGAATCAATACATTTTGTAAAATATTTTGTTCTTTTTTTACAGTCTAGCTTGGGCTGTTTTTACTGACATGGTAGCGTCACCATCCCTGTGTCACCAACTATTCAATACACTGTTGTAATGGTCACAAGAGTTCTAGCACGTGACTGCTGCAATTAATTTAATTGCATTGATGGAATTTGGTGCTGTTTCCAAATTTTTCACTGTATAGGTAGTTTAGCAACGTGTATGTGCTGGGATACTTTCATTTTTCAATCCAACCATCATTTATTGAGTGTGTGGTTGGCCTCATTCTGGGAGCAGAAGAGACAGAAGACAAAGATGACTGATGCCTTTGGTGGGACAACAGAACATGGAGGGCAGTCTGGGTGCAGGGGAAGGAGGCTGTTGGCAGGAGGGGGTTCCGGGCCACTCTAAACACCACTGTGAGATGTGGTGACACGGAAGTCCAGTAGTGGCCATGAAGGAGTGTCTGTCATGATTCAGAAAGTCCAGGAGGAGAGCACAGGAGAGGAACTACAGATGGAGTTGGGGGACCAAAGGGGCTGGAGGCAGGCGAGACAATTGCAAAGGCAGAGCAGCATCTTTGCCGTCTTACAGAAGTAAGGCATACCCAGAAGAGAGCATCATGGGACAAGCAGTGGACTGCTAGAAGTCAGATGAGTAAGGGTGTGGTCAACAGCATTGTCAAGAGCGGTAAAGGGTGCTACCCCATTGTCACCACAAAGGTGGAACTAGATATGACCAGAGGTCTGGTGCTTTTTCTACTGAGTATCAAACTCTTGGGACATCCAATCCTTTGATTTTTGTAAAATGAACCCACGGTGATGTTAAAGTTATGACACTGTGGGGAGGAAGTTCTGTATCTCATGGGAATAGTTGGATAATATATCATGGGTAGCCTCTAAAATAAGAGTTGGACAACAGTGAGCCATCACACTGCACTCACTGGAGAGGGTATGAAAAAACAGAAAAATATTCAATTAAAAACCGATGATAGTGTTGGCAAGGGTGTGGAAAAATCGAAACCACTGTGTACAGATAGTGGAGATGAAAAATGATTGAACTGCTATGGACAGTATGGAGGTTACTCAAACAATTCAAAGCAGAATTTCCATATGACCTGAAATTCTACTTTGGGATATATATGGAAATCAATTGAAAGCAGAGTCTTGAAGAGACCTCTGAACACCATGTGCATAGTAGCATCAATTATTAAAATGTGGAAGCAATTCAATATCTAACAATGGAAAAGTGGATAAAAGAAATGTGGTATATAATATATGCATACACATATATGTCTATCCGTAAAACTATTGAAAGACATTCTGATTAACACGGGTGAACCTTGGGACATTCTGCTAAGTGAAATAAGCCAGGAACAAAAATCAAATAGCATATACTTCTACCTACGTCAGCTATTTACAGTGTTCAAAAATCATAGAAAAGGTAAGTCGAAGGGTGATTATCAGGGGCTCAAGTAGGAAGAAGTCTAGAGTTACTACTGAATGTCTGTGGAGTTTTGGTTCTGCAAGGTGTGAATCATTCAGAAGTTTGGCTGCATAGCAATGTGATCACACTTAAAGGCCAATGCTGAAACTTTAGATGAGGTCTTTCATGTTTTATTTTTCTCACAATTGAAAATTCTTTTAAAGAGTAGAAGTTGGGCATAGTCCCACCTGAAATCAGCCACTTCCCCACTGAGCTGACTGTGATGGGCATCCCTTAAGGGCTGCTGACCTTTTGCTCTGGAATGCCTGGGAGATCCTAGTGGCTTGCAGGTGAGAGAAGAATGGGATAATGGGCTGTCTTTGCTTTACAGCTGCCTTTGCTTCTGTAAAACCTGCTTATCGCTGTGGGGAAACGATGGAATGGTCTTCTTATTGCTATATAGCAGGAAAGTAAGAAACAACTGAGGGAAATAATTTTCTTAACCATCTGTAGATTCCATGGATAGTTGTAAAGCATGCCTTCCTGATGTCTGCCTTTAAAACCCCACCTTAATCCCCTTCCACATGGCATGCTATTTGGCTCTAAGGCTGCTGCTGTCCTGCTAGCAGTAAGAAAGAATTCATTAATCTACATTTGAATTGAGTCTAAATCTTTGGCTTCTCCCAGTAGCCACAACATGTGCATTCATAAATGTAATGTGTAACCATCACCACTAGCTAGCTGCAGAATCTTTTCATTACCCTAAAGAAACCCCAGACCAGTCAGCCATCACTCCTCATTTCCCATGTTCTAGTACTATTCTAACCATGTCTGTGGTCTTGCTCATTTTTGACGTTTCATGTAAGTGGAATGTGGTCTCCGGGCGATTCACTGCGCACAATGTTTTCAAGTGCATCCGGGTCACATGTCTCAGCACTGACTCCTTTTATTTTTCTGACTCCTTTTTATAGTTGAACTGTATCCTGCTGTGTGGCTATACCAAACTCTGTTGATCAGTTCATTAGCTGTTTACAACTCTTGATTATTACCAATTATTTGATTATAGATGTCTACATCCATGTTTTTATCTGAACATTAGCTTAAAATTCTTTGGCATCTAACTGATGAGAGGAATTGATGGGTCATGTTGTAGTTTGGATCTGAAATTTCTCCATATGCTAAAGGCTTTGGGGCTTTCTATTGGGAGCCTTTAACAGGTGGGGTCTAGGAGGTCTTAAGTTCCTGGAAGACTTGCCCTTGAAAGATTGACACCTGAGCCCTACCCTGTGTTTCTCTAAGAAGAACTCATGTCTTCATCCATCTGATACCTGTGCACACTTCCCAAGATTGCCCTGCAGGACAAACCCACAGCTGCCTTTTACTGACATCTGCCAGCTTGAGTCCTGTGCCACCCGAGCCAGGTACTGGGCCCTGACATGCCACGGGACACTGATGATTGTGAAATGCACTCTCTCCTGGTCCTTGCTGTCCCTAGCCTGGATGCTTTCCTGCCCACATGGAAATGTGGCTTTCTCTGTATAGGACTTTGGATCTCTAACTTCTGTCACCAAGCCTGCCTGTGCCCGACATGGCTCCCTCACTGACAAAATTCCAGACCTCATGCCAGTTAACTGATGTGTTCTATAAACAGCCACCAGTACCCTTATGCATTAAGAAAATTTTCACTCATCCATCCTGCCTAGGTTTATGTCAACTTGATGCCAGCTAGTGTCATCTGAGGTGAGGGGACCTTGATTCAGAAGATGCCTCCATAAGACTGAGATGTAGGGAAGCCTGTAGGGCATTTTCCTCATAATTAATTGGTGGGGAAGGACCCAGCCCTGTATGTGGTCCTATTCCTAGACTGATGGCCTGGGTGTGATCACAAAGCAGGCTGAGAAAACTATGAGAATAAGCTGGTACGCAGTGTTCCTCCATGACCTGAATCAGAGCCAGCATCCAGGTCCCTGCCCTGCCTGAGTTCCTGCCCAGATTTCTTCAATGATGGACCAACTTCCTGGAAGTATAAGTGAAATTTACCCTTTCTTCTCAAATTGATTTTGGTCATGGGGTTCCATCACAGCAAGAGAAGAACCTTAAATAAGACAGCCACCCACTTCAGAGTGTTGGGTGAGCCTGGGTACCTGGCTTCTCACTGGCCTCTGACACTCACAGTGTGCCCGCCGCCACCTGCCAGTTCATGTGCGCGCTGCCTGAGGAGGAATGCCAGGTAGACACAGGCTCACTTTCACCCACAGCTGGTTTTCACTGCCCGTCAAACCTTGAGAAGGTCTTGCTTCCTGGGCCTCTACATTCCTCTTTAATTACCCTTATTCAGAGGGCACACCAGGCCCCTCTGTCTGGAGTGAAGTCCCACAGCCAGCAGAGAGAATGTGCACATGCAGATGACATGCCGAGAGCTTCTCTGTCTTGAGCAGAGCAGATATCCCCGCTCGGCTCCCAGGGAGCTGAGCCCCATAGAAGGGACCTTGCTAGGCCCTCTGCAGGGACAGGTCTACTGAGTCTGCTGTTCTGGACTCTGGTTTGGGGCCAGTCTTAAGCATGTAATTTCCCCTTTGAGTGCACAGACAAGGATTCTGACCCCATTTCAGTGGGGGGATAAGGACACATCCAACCTCATGCTGCTCCTTCTGCCCTCCCCTCCCTTCTGAAGTCCTGGATGACCTAGCACTGCCAAGAACTGCACAAGACTGCCAAGCAGCTACAGAATCCCTGTGCGGTCACCTCTCTAACCCTCAGTTTTCTCTGGCCTTCCTGCTGTTTTAGCCCTAAGAGGCTTCCATCCAGCCTCCTTTCGGAGCCTGTCTATACAATGAAATTAGAGAGTCCATGGGCTATGAGGTTCTACTTCAGCTGTGCACTGGAGATGGCTGGCAGCTGGCAGAGACCCTGACATCTGGGTGTCACTCTTGAGTACATGCAGCCAGGCCTCCAGGAGTTTAAAAAGCTGCTGGTCATTGTCATGTGTCGGCAATATTGAGAGCCATTGGCCTTTGGATATTTTCCATTTCAGGGTTTGCCAGAATCTGATGGGGTTCTTCTCCAGTTATTAATGCAAAGAGTCCATGTCCCATTTCTCTGTTGTTTGGGTGTCAAGTCTCCCAGTCAAAGGCCCTGGGGAGGGAAGGATGCACCCCTCGTTCTAGCAATTCCAAAGGGATACCAGTTAACTCTGGTGCTCTATAGAAACCTCTAAGTGAACCATTATGTAGTAGGACTAGTATGTCCCCTTAAGCTTGTAGAAGTCTGCACAGCACAGTATCCTTGCTACGGGACAGTGAAGTCACAGGGCTCTCTGCAGGTGCTTTGTATTGTGGAGGGTCTTGTTATAGTGGTACTTACTTCTGGGGACCTTGCTGGGGTATATCTTCTGACATGGTTTGAATTCATCTGGAGGGGGAAAGTCTTCCATGGAGTGGAACGTGAATTTAGACTCGAATTCATCTGTACATGTGAGAAATACGGGAATTGGAGTTTACTCAGATTGCTACTGTGACCCCAGTGTGACTGTTTGCAGGGGCACACAGGTCGCACTGACTGAATACCCTGCTTGCTGTCTGCCTGCTCTGTGCAAGGGTTTCGATGGCAGGGTTATTTCTCCGAGAGTCCACCTGCTTCTCGAGTATTCCTGGCTGGACAAGAGAATGCAGCATGGGCAAAGTACAGTGATTGTCCATCACCACGCCCGAGATCCTCCTCCCACTTATGGGAAGCCGCCGAAGGAACAGAAAAAAAAGTCTCCAGCCTGGAGGGAAAGCCTAGCAAAGGACCTGGTATTGGGTTTCAACAAGAGTACCTGCTGAATTCCCTGAGGAAGGCTTTGAGAAGGAGACATGTCAGCTGGGCTGTGTCCAGTGTCAGGCCTGGCTTCCCAAGCAAATGGGTTCTGTCCCAGAGCTCTGGTGAGGAGGGAAGGGGCCCTGGCCCTTCTCTGACCTGACAGTAGCTGGGCATACAGAAGGGACATGGAGTTTTCTAGGACCCCAAGTGGTTTTCTCCCAATTTAGTTTTCCTCCTGCCTGGCAAGTTGTCCACCTATTCCCTCCCCTTATCAAGCCACTCTGGTCTTTCTGGCTTACAGACCTACTCTCCATGGAGATATGCACACATCTGCATGCACAGGTCTAGTGCCAGATGTCTTCCCTTCCTCCAGTCTGAGTCACATGACTAGAGAGTGGGTCCTAGACCCGTCCAGAAGACCCAGAGGGAAAGTGCCCATTTCACAGATCATGAAGGCTATTCTGTGTTCCTCTATTCATCGCTCACTGAGAAACAGATACAACAGTGACAGCATGGGAAGCTGGTCAACTGTCTGTCCCCCTTGGGTGGGCAGGGGAAGCTCTGTCCTGTCTTAGAGGGGCGGGAAGCCTGCCCTGCAAGTGGAGTCCTTACCAATCACGTGCTGGCTTCCATTCCGCAGCTGGCCCCCAGGCTGCTGGCTTTTGCTGGAAAGCTCTGTGGTGGGCGATCTTGCAGGTGGAGCTGGAGGTGGGTTTAGCTTCCCCCCACTGGTTCCTTAACAGAGAAGAGGACGGCCATTCACACACAGAAGCGGAAGGGTAGATTTCTAACTGTGTGAGAGGTTAGGTGGTTAGCCCCTGCCGTTATGTGATAGGTAAGAGAGCAACAAGTGGAGCCAACCTGGTTGGGATTGAATCACAATTTGCTTAACTGGCACAAGTCACATACCCTCTTTGTACCTCAGTTTTCTCATCTATACAATGGGGGTAATACCAATCACCTATCTTCAGAGCGTAGCTTCCTCATCCCTAAAATGGGAATAATACCAGCAAACATTTTCTGGAGTGGTTGGAAGGATTTAATGAGTTAACATGCATGAGTCTCTTGTGGCAGCCTTAGCTGCCACTATTCTATCAATGGTGTGATAAGCCTCACGGTCAGATGACACAGCCCCTGAAAGGGATCCACCGCGGAGCAATAGGAGCCGGAAGGGAAGCTCTACAGGTGAGGGCCCGGTGAGGTAAGAAGGAGGACTTTCAGAGGGGTGTTCCTGTCCTGGGTGGGATCTCTCATGCTACAAGCCTCGGTTCTCCTTCCAGCCTGGGTAAAACCTTTTTGCCTGCCAGGGCTCAATTCACACCACCCTCCTTCCTCACACCTTCCCTGGTCATGGAGGTGAGAGTCTCTCGCACTTTTCAGCCTCCCTCCCACAGTGTCTCTAACCCACATCCGGGCCTCAGTACCGGTGTCCCACGGCTACCCATTCCTCAGTGAAGCGGCTATGTTCTTGCTGTTTGCAGTGATGACACTGCTCCACAGTCCCTGTGTTGGTGGTGGATTGCAAACATCCATTTTCACACACACCCTCATGGGCTGAATCAAGAGTTCCCTCACTTTGTAGCTATCGAAAGACACAAAAACAAAGGCTGGGCAAGTGCCTACGTTAGCCAGGCCTTCAGTCTGGAGCAAGCAGCGGAGTGCCAGGTGATGTGCACACCAAGCGCACCATCCGGCCTCTGGCATACCCTCAGGGTTTCCAACCCTTCCCTAATCCCCGCCTCCTTCCTCAACCCCGCCTCCTTCCCTAATCCCCGCCTCCTTCCCTAACCCCCGCCTCCTTCCTCAACTCCGCCTACTTCCTCAACCCCCGCCTTCTTCCTCAACCCCGCCTCCTTCCCTAATCCCCGCCTCCTTTCTCAACCCCCGCCTCCTTCCTCAACCCCGCCTCCTCCCTCAACCCCGCCTCCTCCCTCAACCCCGCCTCCTTCCTCAACCCCGCCTCCTTCCCTAATCCCCGCCTCCTTCCTCAACCCCGCCTCCTTCCTCAACCCCGCCTCCTTCCCTAACCCCCGCCTCCTTCCTCAACCCCGCCTTCTTCCTCAACCCCGCCTTCTTCCTCAACCCCGCCTCCTTCCCTAACCCCCGCCTCCTTCCTCAACCCCGCCTCCTTCCTCAACCCCGCCTCCTTCCCTAACCCCCGCCTCCTTCCTCAACCCCGCCTCCTTCCTCAACCCCGCCTCCTCCCTCAACCCCGCCTCCTCTCTCAACCCCCGCCTTCTTCCTCAACCCCGCCTCCTTCCCTAATCCCCGCCTCCTTCCTCAACCCCCGCCTCCTTCCTCAACCCCGCCTCCTTCCTCAACCCCTGCCTCCTTGCCCCTCCCTGCCTCCTTGCCCTTCCCAGCCTCCTTCCTCTCCCCTTCTGCTTTCCCCTCTATAGGTGTCTAGGGAAACACTAGGTATATACTACCCCTCGGTAAGCCTGCTGAAGGAGATGGGGAATGGCTCTGACACTTCACCGGATGGGAAGCTGCCCTAAGGGACTAGGAAGGAAGTCATACACAAGCCTAGCCATACAGAGGCCCCCATTTAGCAATCCTATGTGAAAGGTGGCATATTCAGAAAACACTGCTTAGCCAGCATCCCTTACACAGGGGTGGATGGGGAACCTAGGATTGGAATTCAGACCCCCACAGATCCCAAAATACCTGTGTCTGTATATTTGTATGTAGTGTGCAGACATGTGTGGTGTGCGTGTGTATGTGGTGTCTACATGTGTATGTGTGGAGCATGTGTGTGTACATGTGGTATATGGGGTGTGTGCATGTATATGTGTGTGTGTGTGAGATGGACCTGTGTGTGTGCACATATGTATATGGTGTAAGCAGTGTGTGTGTGTGTGATGGACTTGAATATGTGAGTGGGGTGTATATCAGCATACTCGTGTGAACAGATGTGTGTGGATTCATGAGCCTGTTCATGTGCTGAGTGTTTCTGCATGTATGTAGGCGTGTGGCTACAGTCTCTGTTGCACACAGCCCGTGGTGTGCATGCTCACCCCTCTGCAATGTGTGCTTCATTCACAATCCTCTGCTCCCTGTGAAGGAATTATTTTTACTTTGTCTCAATACACAAGCCTGTTTTCTTGAGTCTGCTGGAGAATCTACCAGAATGCAGACTGTGTCCCAGTGGAATGGGCTGCCTCTGAAGCTGGCAGCCAGCGTCACTCAGGCTGCTGATCCAGAGAGCTAGCTCTGGAAACTGGCTGCACCCAACCCAGGGAGCATATCAGGAGCCAGGCTGACTGTGGAAGAAGCACTTCTCTAGCCCTCATTGTTGCTAGACCCACACCAGTGTCAAGTACCCTGCAAACTGTGAGAGAGAAAAAAACGTCTGCTTGCCACTCTATTTTGCAGACAAGAAAGCACAGAGAGGCTAAGTGGTTGCCTTAGGACATACAACTAGTAACCATGAGGATCAAGGCCAGAATCTCTCTGGTACCTTCTGTGGGATCTGAGACAGCCACCCTCATCATTGGCTTCCACCGCTAAACAAACAGTACGGTCCCACGGAGGGGCCAAGTTTGAGTGTTCTGATGGAAACCGGGGTGAGCCCATGTGGGTCAGTGGAGCCAGGAAGGCTGTTTTACCTGGGCCTCGTCGCTTCTTCTGTAGAATGGCCTGAGGGCCGGGAGCACCCGGAGGAGTGGGCAAAGCCTTCTGCGCCTGGAAGCTTGGGGACTTGGGGGGCAGTGGAGGAGGGGTCTCGTTGCCGCTGTTGTTGGAGCCTGGCAAAGGGGGCGGAGGCATAACGGCCCTGGGAGAGCAAGAGGCATGGATTGGGAGCGGTGGCGGCGGCGGCGGCGGCGGTGGCGGAGGGGCTGGAGGCTCCTGAACCTCCTGTGCAGGGCTGCTGTGTTCTGTGTTCAGCCCTGGGTACCCACAGGGTGGGAGGAGAGGGAGTGGGGGCGGGATGGGCGGCAGGTGTAGTGGGGCTAGTTGGGGCCTCACTGCTTTGTCACTGAGCACTGCAGCTGGGGGCAGCGGGGGCGGGGGCGGGGGCGGCATCAGGGGCGGAGGGGGAGGAGGTGCGCAGGGCACAGGGGGTGGCGCCACAGGGGGATTTCCCTTGGTTGGAGGGACAGGCGGGGGCACCAATGGGGCTTTGCTGGAGGAGGTCGGGGGCAAGGGTGGAGGTGGAGGTGGGGGCGGGGGTGGAGTAGGAGGTGGTGGAGCAGGCACACTAGGCCGAGGAGGGACCGGCCTGGAAGAGCTGTGCACCTCTGAGGCATTGCCCAGCCTGGGAGATGCGGGGGCAGGAAGGGGACCGCTGATGGCTTTGGTGGGGAGCCGGGGAGAAGGCGCTCGGGAGCCAGGTCCCTGCCCCGCCTTGCCACCTGGAAGTGAAACACATTCTAGGTTAGACCAGCAAGATGGGAAGGAAATTCCAGGTGAGTGGGCAGCAGGCAGGTCTCACACGCCTGATGTCCCCGCAGTTGCGTAGTAGTAAATTATGCAGGTACGTCGTGAGGCTGTACAGGCAGCAGCCACAAGGCGCCTCTCAGGAGCTGTCCTCCTCCAAGGCAGTAACAAGCAAACACCCTTGCTACCCCTCACAGCAACAGCGTATCTGCCCAATTTTTAACCTGATGATTTAAAAATACTGAATGCCCATCAAAGCATAAATTATAGGGGGTGTCAGGTCTTGCTTCTCTTGAGATCGAACATGGTGACAGGCTCTCAACAGCCTGCTGCAGATTTGCAGATCACGTGGCTCTGAGGGCAGTCAGTCCAGTTGTTCCAGCTGAGGCCCCAGAGATGGGGGAATTAGCCGCTCCTCCAGCTTGCAGCTGTTTACAGATGCTAGGGAGCATAGCTAAGGCTACCGCACGCTACTAATGGACAGAATTACAGGCTAAATACGCAGCTGGTTAAAGCCCCTACATGTTTGCATTTGAGTACCCAACAGGGTCTAACTGATACAGGGATGGAGAGTCACTGTGACTCAGCACACAGCTAGCAGATCCACAGCATGGGCGTGTCTGCTGTGAGTGCCACTCCGTCTGACGTCTGACATGACACCTTGGTCATTCTTCAGTGACGGGATGAAGCAATTAGACGAGATCTTAAAAGATCCCCAGGGAACAATGCCGTGTTTTGGGAACTTCCAGAATTACAGTTCTCAAATATACAAATCCATACTATGCAACCATTTATGAACCATGTGTCCTACCTGTTGAGAGAGTAAAGGAAGACCACTAGGCCACCAGGCTGGACCTTCCCTTACCTGCCATATCCCTCTGGCCTGCTGGTCTTAACACAGGAAAGCCACCAGCAAAGAGATCCCCCAGAGCAGGGGGGGTGTTTCCTCCTCGGGCACTGCTGAGGCTGGCACTCCCTCCATCTTTGCTGGCTCCCTTTGAACCTGCAGGGAAGAGGCAAGAAGATGAGTAGGAAGAGCTGAGCAGGCCATCCTCACCCTAGGTCAGTGTCACCCTTTTCATTCAGCATGTTTGTCCCCCCTGCCCAAGCCTGTCGGCTGCCCTCTCTAGTCCTACCAAAGTGCTGACCATTTGTGACTCCGGTTAGAAAACTCACCTTGGCATTGAAAGGTCTACGCTACCTTCACCCCCACCCCCACCCCAAAAGCCCAGGCTAATTCACTCAGACATTTTAACTTCTTAGCTCAAGTATTGGCCGGGGCCTCAGGAAGTGAAGGCTTGCTAGGGTTTCTGCTTTGGAGCTTTCCTCTGTGGCTGCTTAGTTTTCAGGCCGCAAGCAGCTCACATTTCCCTGCACAACTCTGTATTCCCTGCAGTTTTTTTTATTTATGCATCAGAATGTCCCATGTGGATGTCACTAACCCCTGCCTTCCAGATATGGTGGCTACCAACCATAGAAACTCAGAGGACACCGAACCTAGACAAGAATCCCTGCTTTGAATGAGATGCTGCCCAGTTTCAGTTATCTGAACATCTGGTACCCAAGTGATGGCATCGTTTGGAGAAGTTTAGGAGGAGTGGCCTCGTTGGAGGAAGTAGGTCACTGGAGGTAGATGTTGAGAGTTTAAAGATTCCAGTCATTTCCAGTTTGCTCTCTGCTTCCTCTTTGTGGTTCAAGATCTAAGCCCCCAGCTTCCAGCTCCCATCTGCCATGCCTCTGTTCTGCCATCGCAGACTCTCATCTCTATGGAACCATAAAGTCAAATAAACTTTTTCTTCTATAACTTGTCTTGGTCGCGGCATTTTATCATAGCAATAGAAAAATAATTAAGACACAAGCTAAGGTCAATACACAGCAATTAGGGCGTGCTGCCCATTGGTGGATGAGCAGCCAGATTGTTCTGAATATTATACACAGTGCTCATCGGCGTGATTAGGAAGTGGGTGTGAGGATGACATCAGTCTGCTAATTGAGCTTCACCCATTAGATGATGACTCTAATCAGACAGATCTTTATTATAATCAGTGCTGAAAAGGTTTTTTAAAAATGTGTCTATCTTTGGGACTGGAGAGATGGCTCCGCTGTTAAGAGCATGCACTGCTCTTTCAGAAAACCTGAATTCAGTTTCCAGCATCCACACTGAGCAGCTCACCACCTGCTGTAACTCCAGCCCGAGTGGGTCTGGTGCCTCGGGCCTCTGCAGGCACCTGTACACAAATGGGCATATCCACAGGTATGTGCATGTGCATGCACGCACGCCTGCGTGCACACACACACACACACACACACACACACTTAAAGAGAAAATCTTTAAGAATGTGTGTGTCATGGTTTGGAGAGATGGCTCAGTGGTTAAGAGCACTGACTGCTCTTTCAAAGGACAGAGGACCTGGGTTCAGTTCCCAGCACCCACATGGCAGCTCACAACTGTCTGTAATCCAGTTCCAGAGGACCTGGCACCCATGGCAAAGCACCAATGCATATAAAATAAAAAGTAATAAATTAAAAAAATCCAAAAAAGAATATGTGTCCTTATGCATTAACACATTACTGAGGTACAATAATTGTTGCAGAGCTATTTTTGAGAATTGCCATCATTTTGAAATGTATGATGTCATAACATTACAAATAGTTCTGGATATAACATGCTAACTTTTTGGGATCTCAACCAAATGAAAAAGAGGGATAATTGCAACAGCATTGTGAATGCTGACATTCTGATGATACATTTAAAAATGGTGAAATTCATTATACGTATTTTATCAATTTAAAAATACTACTTATCATGAAGGGATTTTTTTTGTTGCTGCTGTGCTGTTTGGTTATTGCTGTTGTTTTGTTATTGAAAAGTAATGAAAGATACTCCAGCCTCTACCACCTGTGGACTTTTGGAAAGGAAGATCTGACTCTCTTGCCTGGTGGCGTGGCCTGTCCCTTAAGCATGTTTGAGGTGGACTGAGAGTGCATGGGTTACATATGCAGACCAGCCAGTGTCTGGCAGTGCTCTCTCCACCTTCCCTGCCCCCCCAGGCTCCCAGAAGGCTCCATTGAGCTGGTTACTTACCCTCGATTTGTGGGGCACTGCGGTCATTGATCTGGGTAACTTTTCGCAGGCGTTTTCCTTGCTGGATATCAGCCAACAGTGCACTCCGACCTTTCAGATCTGTCTTCCTTAAGCTGGGTGCGTCTGTACTAATCTGCAAGGGAATTGAGATTCGGCTAATCAGACACAGCATTTGCAGAGAAACAAAATGCCCCATCAGCTGCATGTCTCTCCTACAGGAGTTCTGCCTTTTCGGCCGCATTCCCAAGGTCAAGCACACCCATACCATTATCTACAATCTCGGGTCATGCCCACACCTCTCTCCCCAGGACATCAAATGGACTCTCTTTTAGATGGTCTATACCACTGCCCATGTTGAGCATAAGGTCCTGGTTGCCCAAATCGGATCCCCTTCACACACCTGGGCTCCCAGTTTTACATCTCTGACCGGCTCACAGATTCTGAATGGGCCTATTGTGGGCATCTTCGAGGAGGTAGATTCAGGCTCTGGGAGCTGGTTTTGCGGGAGGCTTGGTGACCTTTATATAATCTTGTGTCACAGGGGAGAACTAGGAAGCTCAAGAGAAAGGGGGCCGCCAAGGGTCAGAGAATCAGGAAGATAAGGAGTCAGTATAGCTGGAGAGATGGCTCAGCGGTTAAGGAGTCAGTATATATTAGTGACTATAGCTCTATTTACTGGATGGGTCAATGATTGATGGCTGAATGAATGGCTAAATTTGATCCAGTAGGTGTAAGACACTGTGTGAACTCTCGTGAGCATACACTTGTGTCAGGGACACAAGCATACACTGCAAGGAGTTAATTCCCCTACATCACAGTTCATGACCTAGAATCCACCGACAGTCACAGAGAGGAGGACCACAGAGTGTCTAGAGAGGACTATGTGGACCAAGAGAAGCTTCACACTGTTCCTGATGGGGGACTGGGATTTGAAAATCTTTGCTCTAGTCAGAAAAGTGGGGTGGCATAATATTATGAAACTGTCTCTCGCATTCTAGGAGTGTGGAACTTTTGCTGGACCACACAGCTGAGTTAATAGCACATCCTACTGGGTACTCAGCCTGTTTGTTTAATCCTCCTTTTAGAGAACCATGTAACAAGCAACCTCGCCTGCCTTAAGTTTCCCCATGTAATCAATGTTGACAGTCTAAGATCAGGCATAGCTTTAATCTTCTGTTAACAAGCATGCATGCATATATTACTCCTGACCCATGAGTAATGCATGCATGTACATATGCTATGGTAATAAATGTTGAAAACAACAAACAGGTTGAAAGCAACTTTATACACTAAACATCTGCCATAAGCAGTGGGAACAACATGTGGATGGCATTTGCTTGTTTATTAGCTGTGTCAATTGGAGTAAGTAATGTTTCATCCCTTGTAAAACCCTGTTAAAGATTTCTAGATCAGTACTCATCCCAAATATACACATGGATTTTGGACTCCCATCCAACAATGTGAGATGCACTCTCACCCTGAACTCTTGGGGGAGGGTCTAGGCCCTGCCCTGGAAGAAATGACAGACTATGGACACCCCCATGGAGGGCCTCACCCTCCCTGGGGAAATGAGGGGATAATTGGGGGGGTTGGGTGGAGGGCACGGGAGGAGGGGAGGGAAAGGGAGAGGGACCTGGAACTGACTTGTGAAGCAACCTTGTTTCTAATCTAAATTTAAACTTAAAAATAAATAATAATAATAATAATAATAAAAACAAAAATAAATGAAATGACACTTTCTTTCAAAAAAAAAGATTTCTACAAGGTATCTCCAGTTCCTTCCTGTGTGATACTTTTGTGCTGTTCAATGAATACAGAACAGAAGTCCTTTGTTAAGACACACACAGAGAGAGAGAGAGAGAGAGAGAGAGAGAGAGAGAGAGAGAGAGAGAGAGAGAGAGAGAGAGAGAGAGAGAGAGAGAGAGAGAGAGGAGAGGCAGGCACAGATTCAGACTTATACAACAGACAGATCATAGACAGGAGAGAGACAGAAGACATAGGGAGAGACATGGAGAATCCAAACTCCAGCTTGCCCTTGGTTAAATTATTCCAAGATTTTCTCCTTATTCTGACACTGACACATATTGTGATTCTGAGTTTATAGCTAACACATCTGATCTGACATAGAAAAGGACAGATTAGATCCTCTGATAGAAACTCCTGGGCTGGGCTGTGTCCGAGGCCAAAACAAAGGCCACTATGTTCTGGGCTAAATGCAAGGAGTTCGAATTTCCACCAGTGGCTCTGGCTTGGGTTAGACCTGTAACAGGCTTTGAAAAGCTCAAACTCCGAAGTCTGGTTCTTGTTGCCTGGAAACACATTGTGAACCCATAGGAGAAGCTCGTGGGTGGTGGTCAGTAACGAAGCTGTGGACCAGGGTCCCCAGTTCTAAATTTTTCAGTACATCTAGGCAGCGCAAATTCATTTAGGACACTTGTACAACAGCGTTATTTCTTATACAACATGGTTTAAAGAGACTCGGTATAAGCCATTAAAATCAAACTCATTTAAAACTGAATGAGTAAAAGCATCAGGACCCTGGGACAAGAGGAATAAAACTCTTCATGTAAATCTGATATTACAGTCTCAGGTATGCATTATGGCCAGGGATATGGGGCAATGAATGTTCTGCAGTTCTCTAAGTACAAGACAAACAGCAATGCACGTCCTATTCGACGTTGGTTTCAGGGAAGGAGGATGTTTATAATCATCTGTTTGAGAAGCACCCATGTGGTGAGCAGTCCCTAACTGCTCCCTAACCCTGGAGAAGGCTCACCTATCCCACTTCAGACTCCATGATTTAATTTAATATTGTATGTATGGGTATTTTGCCTGCATGTATGTTTATGTACCATGCGTTTGCCTGGTGCCCTCAGAGGTCAGAAGAGGGTGTAATATCTCCTAGGACTACAGTTACAAAGGGTTGTGATCAACCATGTGGGTTCTGGGAATCAAACCAACGTCCTTTGGATGATCAGCCAGTGTTCTTTTTACTTTTCTTCTTCTTCTTCTTCTTCTTCTTCTTCTTCTTCTTCTTCTTCTTCTTCTTCTTCTTCTTCTTCTTCTTCTTCTTTCTTTTTTCTTTTTTTTTTCTGAAACTAGCTCTGTAGACTTGGCTGGCCTCGAACTCACAGAGATCCACCTGCCTCTGCCTCCTGAGTGCTGGGATCAAAGGCATGTGCCATCAGCACCCCAGCCAGTGTTCTTAACTGGGAAATCATCTCTCTCTGGCTCTCTATTCTTTGATTTTGCCCATTACAGAGGTTTCAGGTGAGGGCCGTGAAGAGTGATGCATCGACATCATGATTTTAATTTTTTTTTTTTGGTTTTACGAGACAGGGTTTCTCTGTATTATTTTGGAGGCTGTCGGTCCAGCCTGGCCTCGAACTCACAGAGATTCACCTGCCTCTGCCTCCCGAGTGCTGGGATTAAAGGTTGTGCCACCACCGCCCGGCTCTGACATCATGATTTTAATTTTAAGACTTATTTTGCATGTGCCTCAGTATGGGCCTGATTTTTACATGGCAGATTGGCAGATGAACACATTCTCCAGCACATTGGTAAACACTCCTTTTCTCTTGACAGTTTACCAGGGTAACATCCCATTAGACTGCTCTCCTGCACCTGCCATTCATAAGGCACCTGCCGACTTTCTCTCTATGAGCCAAGCCAGGGAAGAACTGCTAACTTCTGAAAAACACAGAGCCATATATATATTTAGATCTAGTGGGTTTTAGACGAAAAGACACATTCATTCACATGTTGAAGATCACATCATATTACACAGACCGTCATTTCTACTCACGCTGCAATATTTGTCAACCTTCCAACTGTAGTGGTTAAAAAAAAAAAACTACAACCCTAAGAATCCTTGTTACCATGGTTGCAGGATAATGAAGCAGGAAGAAAGATTCCTAAATATCCGCTGGGTGTTTTACTCTGTGCCAATCCATGCTGTTGGTAACTTCACTAAATCATAAGCATGGGAGAGGAAGCAACTCTGGACACTTTCCCATGGAAAACGAGCTCCCCAATTGTCTGAAACACCCACAATGACATCCCTGCAGAGACCACTCTTGTTCCTTCCTGTTAGCAACGTGACTGAGAGCAAAACTCTGTCAGAGACCACACAGAGCCTTGGTCCACTCACTTTGCTACTGTTAGCATCAAAGGAAGCAGTCCAGGAGCCTAAGCAGGTATAAAATCATAGAAAAGACAGATGCATGAGCCGGACTCTTGGCATAAAGAGGCTGAAAGCCAGAGACTGACCAAAAAGAAGTTTACATAAACCAAAATCAAATGGCAGCAACACAGAGCCAAGAGGAGGAGTAAGATTGGAAAGGTGGGTGCTCTGGTTTGGATATATATATATATATATATATATATATATATATATATATGGTTTTTCGAGACAGGGTTTCTCTGTATTGTCTTGGAGGCTGTCCTGGAACTCGCTTGGTAGACCAGGCTGGCCTCGAACTCACAGTGATCCGTCTGCCTCTGTCTCCGGGGTGCTGGGATTAAAGGCGTGCGCCACCAACGCCCGGCTTCTGGTTTGGATATATTATCAAGACCTTCCACGTACCCTTGTTATGCCAATAAATGAACCAGCAGAGCCTCAGTTGTTATTAGGGAAAGGGAGTGAGAGTCTAGATCAAAACTTTGGAACGTGTCCTCTGCTGCACCTCCCCACTTCCTTTGCGGTCTGGCCTCTGTGTAACACTGGCCTCTGTGAACAAGGTGACACAAACATTGCTGGTTCTCTCACCTCTCATCAGAGAAGCCGCTCTTTTTAAAAAAAATATGAATTTATGTCTTTATTTTATGTGTATGCCGGCAAGTCTGTGCACCAAGTGCCGGAGGGAGCCAGAAGAGGGTGTCAGATCCTCTGGACCTGGAGTTGCGAGGGCTGTGAGTAACGGTTACGTAGGTGCTGGGAATTGAATCCAGACTCTCTGGAGGACTAGCTGGTACTCTTAACCACTGAGCCGTCTATCTGTTCAGCCCTGACACGCTTTTAGCAGTGGAGGGAGGTTACCAGAAGGAACAAAAGATTGAAGGGCGGAGAATCAGCATCAGCGGAGTTCTCCTTCCTAATCGGGACATCCATATCACATGCTTTCCTCCCAAGGC